TTAACTGAAACACCTTCTAAACCATTTGAAATTATACACGTCGATACCTTTATTGCCGGCGGACAAAAATTCTTAACTATAATTGACAAATTCTCTAAGTTTGGACAGGCATTGCCCTATTTTGGAACTGCGATTTCAGCATGCCAACAATTAGTACATTTCTTTTCATTCTATGGAATACCAAAACAAATTATTTCTGACAACGGAACAGAATTTAAAAATGACGTTCTAGACTCTTTATTAAAAATACATAAAATTAAAATCCATTTCACAACGCCGAGTCATCACGAATCCAATTCACCTATCGAACGTTTTCACTCAACCCTCATCGAACACTTACGCCTATTGAAGGAAATAGATAAAAATTCCGATATTATTTCACTTATGCCCTATGCGATCATTGCATATAACAGTACTATACACTCAAATACTAATTTTACGCCTTTTGAATTAACACTAGGACACACTGATACACCTAATTCCTTCTCAAATATATTGTGAATACGTAAATAACCATCAAACAAATACTAAGCTTCTTTACGAAAAGGTACATAATGATTCCCTTTTAAAAAAAACAAAAAACAATCGATAAAATTAACAAAAACAAAACTCCAGTAGAACTAAAAATTGGCGCAACAGTGTATAAGCGCACCGAAAGTCGAAAAAGTAAATTAAACAAAAAATTTTCTGGACCATTCATATTAACAAAAATTTTAGATAATAATAAAATTGAAATAGAAAACCCAAAAACAAATAAAAAAGAAATAACTCACGTTAACGAGACTAAAATAATGAACATTGTTCCAGATGGCTCGCAAACATCGGAGCAAACGAAGTAAAAATCCACAACCTGAACAACTATCCAGGAATCCTTCCTTATAAACTAGGTACCGCAAAAATAACCTCCAACCATTTTTCCTTTATACAAATTTTTGATTTAAACCCAGCTGTTGCTGAATTCTATGTAATCTATAACCAAGTAAAAATATTAATTAGTCAGATTAAAAATAATACTAATTATTTTCACGAATATTCTAATTCAGTCATCCCTCTTGTAACATTAGAAAAACGCATTGAAAATCAAATTAGTCAACTCAATCCATTATCTATAAGAAGTAAAAGAGACTTATTAAACCCAATCGGTTCTATTATTAAATGTATTACTGGAAACTTGGACCAATCTGACGCGGAAAAATACGATGTAGAAATCAAACAACTGCAAGAAAACCAAAATAATTTAAGAATCAATTCAATTAATCAAATAAAACTGTTAGAAAAAACAATCAACTCATTTAAAAATTCGATATCAAATATTTCTCATAACCAACTTAATCTTAAATCTAAAATATTACAAATTGATCAAGTAATTAAAAAAATAACCATTGAACAAACGAATGACTATGAGTATTTCCAAATACATGTAGTAATGAATCAAATTACCTTTATGTATAATTTAATATATAACATTTTTGAGAAAATTGAAACCGCAATTAGTTTTGCCAAATTAAACACTTTACATAATTCGATAATTGATCCGTCTGATCTATTCGAAGAAATTAAAAACACTAAAAAAGAATTAAAGGAAAATCAACTGCCGTTCGAGTTATCAATCGAAAATATATTAAATTTTGAAAAAATTATAGAAATAAAAAGCTACTCTAGAGGACTAATAATAACATTTATTTTGGAACTACCGCTAGTAGAATCAGAAATTTATCAATATTACCAGTTGTATCCGCTACCAGTTAATAGTGAACAAGAACTGCAATATTACGTTAATATACCGGTCAAACCATATCTTGCATTGAGTGGAAATATGTACTCATTTATGGACTCTGAATGCGTAAAACTATTAAAAAATGAGTTCATGTGTAAAAATATACATATTACCTATATGAAGGAACACCCGCCTTGTTCAGTGGAAATAATAACTCACAAGACTAATATAACAAACTGTAAACCAATTAAAATCCAACTTCAAGAAATAAAAATTTTCAAAATCCAAAATGGAAAATGGATTATTGTGACACCTAAGAAGATAATAGCAACAGTACAATGTAATGACGACATTAATACTGTTCCATTATTTGGATCCCACCTTATCGAATCCTCCCCAATTTGCAAAGTACAAATTGGAAAAACTGAACTAAGAACCTATACCCCTAATCGATTGAGATTTGATGACACTCGTCTACCGGAAGTGAATCTCTCACTGCTACATAAACAGAAAATAATCTTCGATCCACCAGAACTCACATTGGACACGATTAACCTAAAAGAAATAAAGGAGCTGCAAATCCAAATGGACGAAGCAAAAGAAAACCTTGGAAAGATGTCATCACGTATATATTCTACGAGAACTAGTGTTTGGACAATTTTGTTATACGTAATACTTATATTAATCTTGATTTATTTATTATATAAATATTTTCCATTTAAATCTAAAATTAATAAACAAAAAGAAAATATTGTTATTTAAAAGCACTTGTTGTACCCGTGCTTTTATCTAAGGGCGGAGGAGTTATAAACGCTTTAATACTGTAAACTGCTGAGTAAAGGTTCCCATACATATTATATTACTTGTTTCTCAAAGCGTCAGCAATTTGTCTGTATAAAACCACGGTGCGAACCACATCGCTAGCTTTTTTGTCATCTCGCTTGAATAAAGTTTTTTAAAAAATCAAATTCGTTTTCCACGACGAAAACTTATGTGTGTGTAACTTTTGTTTGTTCTAGAAAAAATTGACAAGTCGCATATTATGTTGGCGCATCCAGCAGGGTGGGTGGTCGACAGAGTGCGACGGCAAGGAGTGTATTTCCTATTTAGTTTTTTTAAAGGAACGGGAACAAGAACGTCATGAACAGGAACACCGGGATGGCCGACAAACTGGATGCAAAAAGAAGAAGAAGAAAACCCTCCTCGCAGGACATCTGAACTAATAAATATTTATTATTGTATATAGTTTTCTTTAATTTAACACCGGGTATAACTGATCATTGAGACACTCTGTATAAGTCACTCGACTTGTTTACCGTCGATCCTATCATCCCGATTCTCCATCACCCCGTCATCCCGTCCCATCGTCACCGCCACCTGCCGGGGCAAACCGGCGGTACATAATTAGCTCGGCGTTAAAGTCGGCGTTCGACAAGAGACGGTTCCCGCGTTCGATCCTCGGTAGACGCGAAAAGAAAGATGAGTCACGTGACCACATGTAATCATGGGTTGCGTGGGGGTTGATGGTGGTGGGGTGAGGATTGAGTGAGGGGGTTCACGGATGGGGTAAAAGTTGAGGGATGGGGTGGAGAGTAGGTAGGTTGGTGCTAAGATAGGAGATGGATCGAATTACCTTGACCGGATTAATTTTCGCTAATATGATCCTTAAATTTTCTTATGGGAATTTACATGTAAAAACTGCCGAAATTGCTGTTGAACGCAGGTAGTATATCTACTAGGGACGTTCATTAAAATTAACATTTCATCGTTTTCACATAATAGCTATTTTTAATTTGCGATGTCTATTTTTTTTTGCCTTCGCTTCAACCAAATCAAAAATTGTTGAGATTTTTTATATATTTTTTTCTTTGTGTTTTTACAAGATAGCTATGGGAAAATATATAGAAGGGGATGATTTCCTGCACATGCTACATTTCAGCCGCTAGGCTGTACTTTGCGCCATTTTCTTTCTAAATAGCGATTTCCACACAATTAACTCAAACAAATACTGTCTTGAAAATGCCGAATCGAAAGTTATTAAAGATCTGTCAGCGGTCATATTGGTTGTTGAATGCCGGTTAAAAACCAGATTTTAAATCTCGCGCCCGTTGATTTTTACCGATAACAAATCGCAAACGTATCGCATGTTTTGGTTAAAACTTTGTGACATACTTCATCAAATTCAAATAATTCTCGTTTTTTTCGCTATTTATAGTTTTTCCATGACAGATCATTGAAATTCACTGTAGGACACCCTGTAGAAGCCTTGTCTAAGCAGACACTTCGTCAATTCAACCGGTTTCAGTTTAGGTGTAGCATTTTTACGCCAGTTAGTTTAAGATATTTGTTAATCCTTTTCATATTAATGCCCTTTATGTTTATGTTTAGGTGTGATCAGAAGACAGGAAATCAAAATGCTTTGTTGCAAAGGTTTCTTTGTCCTTTGTAACCTTGAAAAAGTTTGATGATGGTTTATGACTGTTAATTATATAAAATAAATTATTTCTAATGAAAATGCGTTTAATAATAATTCCTTACTAATGATGATTCCTTGAAATAATTAATTCATTGAATTTGTCAAAATTAGTTCCATAATTTAAAGAGAGAAAACGCCACTCATCTCGCGCCCCTTCTATTGCAGCTTGCAGAAACTAAGTAGTAAAAGGGCTTACTATTTTAACGCAAGATGGTAATAATACCGCGCGCGGCCCTCTATTGTAGCTTGCATCAACTAATTAGTTAAGGTTTTCAACGAGAGATGGCGAAACTACCATGCAGATGCGCCATTTATTGTTGCTCGCTTGAACTAATAAGATCCAGTGTCACTGGTGCAAGCACACCCTCTAGTGGAGCTAGTTTCAAGTAAATAGTTAAATGATTTAACGAGCGGTAGCGATATTTTCACTTGTCTGTTATTGTTTGCTTCAAGTTATTAATGCTAATTGTCTAATGAAAGGGGCTTCACTACTGCATCCTGCGCCATTTATAATATGTTGCTCCAACTAATTAGTTACAAGGGTTACCGAGATATGGTGCCATCTATTGGAGTGTCCTTTAAGTAATTAGTGCCATGGTTGCACGGGAGATGCCGCCACTACCAAAGTAGCCAATTGGCGTTTATCTACCTCTTACCATTGGGCAACCTATTGTTTTCAAAGATCCGGATGTGGCTGGAGCTGATGCGAGGATAACAAAATAGGACAGCCAACCGAAATATTCGTCCTCATTTGGAATAAAAAATTTGGCACAAAAATCAAATTCGGGATATAAAAAACAATGTCTGTATTTAAAAACATTCATAATAGGTAAGAACGAAAAGTAAATAACGTATAATCAGCGTATAATTGAAAATATTTTTTTTCTTACGTTGAGAAATTATAGGCGGTTTCAAAAAGGAACAGCAGTTAATCGATTAACAAACAATTCGCCAGCAGCAATACAGATCCTGATGGACAACATATATAACATTTAAAAATTAATACATAGTCTGTTATATCCAATCAGTATAATAACAAGGAGCACACAGAATTCCAATATACTATGTGGCAGGCGGGGTTAGAGTGAAAAATATATACTCTTTTTTTCGAATAACCGAATGAACATTTTAGTACTTGATCTTTTTTGCGACATATCAATTCATATAATAATATTTTTCTAAAGCGGTATTTTTATTTTACTATTACCTGTTTTACTTCAGATTTAGACAAGCATTTACTAAAAAACACGAAAGATCAAGCATTAAAAAGAGGTTACAAAATTGCAAGGTACATAGCAGATAAAGATCCCATACCGACTTTTGTTTTAACGTTTACGTTTACTTGAAACGTGGATTAGTCCGGTTGATGTTTATTAAAATCCACATTTTCGAAATTAAAAGCAATACAACATATATTTATTACGACTATCGATAATTTTATACTCTTCCTATCTAAGATAAATTCGTTCTTTAATTTTAAAATTATTAAAAAGTTTTTTAACTGGACTATATTTACAATTTTTACTTTTTTTGTGATACTTCATTCTAAAAAGTCGCCTTTCGTTCGTAGCAGTAAGAAACATCGCAAAAATAATTGAATATTTCTAGAATCACGCATTTTCTCTTGTAATAAAGGTAAGTTGTGCCGACAAATTTGAAATAAAACCACAACGGTATTTAGTATAATTGTTTTATTTTTCAGATTTTATAAAAACTAATAGACTCAGTGTACTAGTAATTCGTAGCGAGTATGCAATTCATTTAAAAGAATTATTAACCAAAATAATTGCAAATTAAAAAAAAGGAAATTGAAGAAACTAGAAAGCACATCCGATGTGACGTCATCGTTGGGATCCCTAAATTTGGGTTAAAAAAGTGGTGTTTTGTTCCCGGCGGTTGTACAAATACTTCGAGAAATAATCTAGATAAAGTAGCTGCGGTGGTGTACAGGGCAATTTACTGTGCTTTAATGATTTGCAGCAAGAAGTTTACCAATACCAAGCTCAAATGCAGTTCCACAAATTTTAACTTGTAAACACAAAAGAATAAGCATACATCGATTAATTAGTGAAAGTGAAATCTACTATTGATGGCAAGCTAGCCAAATTTACAGTGGTAATTCTGTAACCCCGATCCTGAACAAGAACCCAGTAGTTACTGCCTAATTCTTTACCTTCAGAAGCCTTTAACGAACATAAAAAGATTCTCGAAAATAGAGCAGGAATTATAAATAATGACACTGTCAAAGATTTTTTAATATTTTTGTTTGTGCTAAAAGATTAGTGTAACTAACGAAATGCAGGATTGTTCAAATATGTATATGTATATAAAAACGACCAACAAGTAAAACGCTTATTTTAACGTTTAATTTCATTCCGTGAATAACCCAATAGAAAATGTACAAACCAACAAACGAGGCTTGCATGAACCAAACGGAAGCAACAAGGTTAATCAGATATAAATAACGAATAGCCATATAATAGCAGTCCAAACAGAATCAAAAACGAGCATTAGACAAGGTTTCAATATAAAAACTTTCAATGCAATGGCAAAAGAAAGATTAAACAATGTGTTAAGTTTGTTTGGTTAGTTTAGTTTGCTAGTTTTCTTGTGGTCAAATAATTACCCTTTCATTGAAGTTTTTGATAATAACAATTATTTTTTACCTCTTTGAAATTGGAAAAATGTGATTTTAAATGCAAAAATCCCAACTGTGACATTTTGTGTTTTGATAAATTGCTATTTCTCAAATAAATTGTTAGATTTGATAATTTACGTTATTGGTGAAAATGGTGAAATTCTAGAAATATTCGAAAGGAAATTATGCCGCTTGGCAGCACACTGGCTGTACCTATTTAATATTAATATACTTTTTACTATATTACAAAAGTAGTTTGATACATATTGTACACTTCAATAAATCAGTCAATGTTTCATTATACAAAATTGGGTAGTACACTATGTACCAAACTGTGGATCACATACATATAGGTAACAAATTGTAAATAAATAATATACACTTTTTGGCATCTTTGGAAATTACATACACAAATAGACTTTGGTTTTTTGGTATAAAAGACTTACAGTTTACGGTAAGCTTTTTAAATTTATTTTTGGTACATCACACTTAGTTAATTGAATAATCTTACGTTAACTCAGGGGTGTGTAGAGAGTGCCACTAGCACGCGTCGCTCCACGGGAACCACCAGCTCTCCGGGCACCCTTCCGTTTCACGTTTTCGTCTCCGCTTCTTCGACGATTCGTTCTGCTTCTTGATAAATTTAATATTGTAGGGGTCTTCGGCCAATTCCGGGTACTCCTGCACGTTGTGTATGTAATTACCCTCGTAATTAGATACGTAACCGTTTTTGGTAAGTTCGTCGATTTCGCTTGCCGACCAATCGAAGCTGCCCGAAAAACCGTTCTTGTATGCCTCCTTCTCCTTGTGCCACGCCTTAATTCAAACGAATTAGTATCAAGGGCGTTTGTAATTGCTGGGTATCAGTAGATTCGAGGACAGTGGTCGGAAAGAAATTGGTAGCCACGGCATTCATGCAATATTAAATTTTATAAATTTTTGCAAATCTCAAAAAAAAGGGTTTTTCTTTAATAAATAAAATTTTAATTTGAAAAATATTAATTATGAAAGTAAGTTTATACTATTAAAAGAACCACAGTTCACAAAAAATATATAATTTGGTAGTTCTATGTAACAATAATAAGCAATTAAAAATCCTCTTTGAAACGCGTTGTCATTGGCTGTGACCGGTTGTGACGTCAATTCGCTCGAAAGATTACATTCCAGCCGGGCGGTAGCATAGAGAAGCCATTAGAGAACGACAACGCGTTCGTCTTGGTGGTTTTAATTTTAATTTTAGTCCTGATCCTGTCGCTTGCTCTTGTGATCTTGTGTTTAGTATCAAAAAAACAGTTTTGAAAATAATCTAAGCCGATTTTTTAAAAGGTCAATCTGATAATTTACCTTGAGTAGATGTTTATGGTGACATCTTGCATACAAAACACCGAAAGTTTTTCTTTTGGTTAGGTTCGCGATGTGAAAGCTTAAAGGTATGTTCATAGAAAATTTAGTCACTAATTTTAGACCAAATAATATTGTAATCAGCTTAAAGTTTTTAGTTTATAAAATTCAAACTTTATATCAAATAAAATGTAAATTATTAAAGAAAAACAAGAAGGTATTTGTTTAAACTAGTGGAAATCTAAATACTGATTTTAAAGTATATTGGAATTGATAACTTAAAGTGTTCTTAATTTTATATAGATCATGAAGCCATTCCCATGGAGACTGCAACAGGATGGGTGCAAATTCGAAGAGTTAAAAATGTTTGCACTGACAAGGCTAAAGTGACACCTGCGCATAATGTTAAAAACAACCGCTTTTTTTTCTGGTAGACGAATAAAAATGTTATCTCGCGTTTTACGGGTTGTAGTCAAACACAGTAGCAGGATTTGTAATATTGTTGCTTCCATTATTATCATGTAAAGCACACTAAGCATAAATACCAACTGATGTAGATTAAATACAAACACACCTCTACCATGCAAAAAATAAATGCAAATAATATGATTATATCATTTCCGCGCGTTGAGTGTCGTCAGAATTTGAAATATTAATTGCAACTAAATATTGGGTTTTGAATTTGGATATTTGCTATGTCTTATTTCTATACATAAACAAATGAATAAAAAAAATGTCCAAGTTCCCTATACCAAATAAACCTCTTACCCCAGCAAATAAAGCTTCCTAGGCCTTAAAAGTTAATATTCATATTTTTCTTATAAACAAATAGAATCATCGCAAAATAATACCATCGAAATGTGTGTAGGAATTATTATACCTATTTGTAATGACGTGACCAATCATCCCGTTGACTTCTTCAGAGCTTAACTGAAACTACTTGGCATTCTACTCTGCATCGGCCTATATACTCTCTGATAGGGGCGAAGCTAAAGGAACTTTGCCTCGGATGACCGATTCCCATATTGGTGAAAGATCGCGGTTAAGATTGTTTACTTGTTTAGAAATGGATTCTCGGATTTTTCTTTGGATCATTACATGCAAGGAGTTTAGTTTGTTGGAATATGATTTGATATCCGGTTTCATGGTTATGTTCGGTGGGTTTACTTGTCGTAGTATTATGGACGACCTGATGGATAAATCTAATGAGGCACTGAGGAAGATCGACAGATGGATAAGCCAAAACGAACTAGGCATTGCACCAGAGAAGATTTAACTGAATTGAAACTTAACCCGTTACAAGAAATATATGTTCCAGACAAGCATTTTCAAATTAGGATGAGACGAGTAAATTCAAGATTTCCGGTTTTTTATATATCTAAAATAAAGTTGAGAGTTTCAGAAATAGGGGTACCGATATATCAGATGCGTTCACAAAGTAAAGTGATTTTTAAGTTTCATCATCAAAAAGTCTTTATTTATTCATAAAAATTAATGTTGTCTGTAAGCACTTTCCGGTATAGCCGTAACTTATTCCAGCGGGTTTTTCTTTATCTCCTCAATTGTTCTAAACCTCCTTCCTTTCATGAGTTTCTTGACTGTTTGGAACAGGAAAAACTCGGAACAACAAGCAAGAATGAGTTAGCAGGTGCAGGTGATGGAAAATCCTGGAATTGTTTTCTAACAATTCCAGACGTTTTCTTCGTATTACTCTTCGAAAACGGCGCATAACTTCAAAGTAATATTGTTTATTGACCGTACGACCTTGTAGTAAGAACTCTTTATATATTACGCCACGACAATCAAAGAACACTGTAAGCAAAACCTTGACATTTGATCGAACTTGACATGCTTTTTTCGGTCTTGGCGATTCTGGGTTCTTCCATTGGGCTTTGGTTTCGACGTCATAACCATATACCCACGATTTGTCACAAGTTATGATCTTGCTGCTACACATTTCATGACCAAAACTTCGGAAAAAAATGCATGGTAGGAAATAATAGAGATGCCGACGTCTTCAGCAACTTCTCTAATAGTGTTTCGACTACTTTTCAGCACCATATGTTTCATTTCTTCAACGTTTTCATCTTCTCGGCCATCTTGGAATCGCTTGTACCACTTATAATTTTTTTTTTTGCTCAAAGTAGATTCGCTATGTGCCATTGTCAACATTTCAAGTGTATTTCACTGTATTCCATTTTTTACACAAAATTTTATGCAAGTTCTTTTTCTTTTTTTACAGCCGAAAATCGCCGAGTACACGAAACACATTTATCGCTTCTGGCTGAAACCGTGAACATATCTTAGGGACATGTATACCAACATAACAAAAAAAAAATCTACGATCGAATGTACGTCGCCCGCCCAATTACAAAAGTCACCGTACTTTTTGAACACACCTCGTATTTAAAATTAACAGCTGCGATTGCTAATTCGACATATTATACCTTTTTCTTATTAATATTTAAAATATTACGAAATAACTTTGGATGGATAACTGAGGGTGACAACCGATCCTTTCAAGGAGCCTACTTTTGTCACAGTTTGTCACAGTTTGAAAAATATTAATCAGGAATTTTTGTTCATGAAAGCTTGATCCATCCCCCTCCGCTGACAGCAATGCCTGTCTAAATAATTTCTTAATGTTTATTTAACGTTTTAGTTAGTTCATTCAGCAGCGTTTCGGTGGCATCATTTTTAAAAGGGTTATTCTATTTGTTTATATTAAAAAATGAATCCTAGGGTTTATGGCTGAAGAAGCTTCATTTCCTGAAGTTTGTTCAATATATGCTGCTAATGTTTATTAACAATTTAAAATCGACAGTCGTTTAGATTTTTTGCTCAAACTAATTTATTAACTTTTGTATGATTTTTTTTCTAAAAAGCTATAGCATTACTTACAAGTCAGAAAACTGTTTTGTCACACCTTGTCTTCAAACCTACTGATCAGTATGAAACTAGGTGGCAGTTTCTATAAAAACCACCTCGATTAGACTCTAATTCAGTTGGCTTACCTTTCTGACGGCCGATAACTTGGCGTGGTGAAGCAGCCTTTGTTTTTCCTTCTCCACGTTCGTACCGTACCTCAAATTGATCACGACGTTTGCTCGGTGAATCTTCACGTCGAAGTAATTGTTCCCGCTGCCGTTTTCCCGGACATTTTCGTGGAAGGTGGTGTTGACTTGACCCTGGAGCCTCTTCAGTTGGGCCTTGTCGTCGTTTATTTTCCACGTCTCCTTCTTTACGAAATAAAACGCGTCCTGCTGATTGCCGTGGACGATAAACGAAAACGGAAGCAAGAATGACCTGTTAAACACCGAGGTGTAAACGTCGCGATAGATGGCGTTTGCGGCGGGCACGCTGGACACGATTGCTTCCCCGGAGTCAGTTTTGGATACCAATATACCCCTGCCGAACGGCGGATCGGAAGAGGCGCCGATTTTCTTCGGCACTAGATCGATTACGTCAGTTTTGAGGGCCGATTTCGAGAATACAGACAGTTCTTTCGCGTTTTGCATTTTTCTCGAGTTCAGGTGGGCGAGAAAACCCGACTGGATTTCGGTGATCGCAGCTTGGCGAGTCAGCTGGCTGCTAAGCACCTCGGACGGATTCCAGAAGTCTGGATTTTGGGTCAGTAATGGTGGCATTTTACCTCCCGGTAGGTTTTCCATGAACAGTTGCGGTGCCAAGCTTTTCAGATTGACTCCTATCTTCTCCATCCAGTCGAGATGATCTTGAAAAAGAAGCGACAGCTTGACATGCGAGTTGTCTGAGTTGCCTTCCAATGCATTCTCAGAGATGGTTACTAGTTTTGGTTAGTAGCATAAGGACGAGGAGTTTTTAATTAATTATTTTGTCTGGTCTTCGAAATCCCAGCTAATCTGGAGTATTATTGCAAACGCAATTAAAAAATTATTTTTCAAGCAACGCCGTTTTTTTACTTTAAAAAACTACAGAAATCCGCATTTGCAGAGAACTGGTGCAAAAAAAAATCTCTTGAAAGTCGCTCAAATACCCAATTTCTAAGATCTTTTTTATTTTATTATTAATTTATTTATTTACACCCATCAAATAGACGAAGCCAGTTGCCAGACGGGGAAGTACAAATTACGAACCAAGACAACAAAACAGGAATTCCAGAATTCCAACAACAATATTAATGATAACATTACAAATTAGAAGTAAATATCAGAAACACATTTTGATTTCCTAATAACTGCAGTAAAAAAAGTACATCCTGTCCTGGAGGTTGTTAGAATTAGAGCACATAAAATGCAGCAGTGAAAATTTCAAAATATGATTTCAAAATATATGAAGACAAAATGCGTCAAGAGCTTTTCAGGGGATAAGTAGTATCAGCTACTCGAGCGACAAGTTTCGAAGAAATATTAAAGACTGGCTTGTTCTATGACTTGAAAAACTTAAAACTGAGAAAGTACTGAAAAGAATCTAATAAAGAAAACTTATAGGAGGGTACTGTCCTTCAACTTTGAAAGTTAACATTTATAAAATCTTTCCCGTAATTTTCTTTAAACTTTCGGCGATCTTGTTTTAATTAATTAAATGATTATAATTTTTTCGATCATTTTTTGCTTTTACTTTAATAGAAAAATGTTTACTTGCTACGAATTTGATCTCATGGCTTTTGTCAATTTTTCTTAAATACAAGTATTATGAAGTTTCACCTTACACTTAAAAATAGATATGACCAAATAATTAGGAATAGGCATAGGAAAATATTTCACAAAAATGATCGGAAAGTGACGACAGAGAGAAAAATTGAACTATACAAAGGTTGTCTAAAAAATCCCCAAGTTTTTGCTACTATATATATATATATATATATATATATATATATATATATATATATATATATATATATATATATATATATATATATATATATATATATATATATATATATATATATATCCTCACGTATTGATTCACGGATGGAAAAATGTGATGACACTATATTCCGGGATATCATCCGTTCGCTCGTTGAACTCCGACTGGAATCCTGCAAATCTTGCATCCGACTGGAATCCTGCAGACGTTTCGCCAAAATCTCACTTGGCATCTTCAATGCTCGCGCTCCGAGTGTTCGAAGTGTTTTCGGAGCGCGAGCATTGAAGATGCCAAGTGAGATTTTGGCGAAACGCCTGCAGGATTCCAGTCGGATGCAAGATTTGCAGGATTCCAGTCGGAGTTCAACGAGCGAACGGATGATATCCCGGAATATAGTGTCATCATATATATATATATATATATATATATATATATATATATATATATATATATATATATATATATATATATATATATATATATATATATATATATATATATATATATATATATATATATATATATATATATATATATATATATATATATATATATATATATATATATATATATATATATATATATATATATATATATATATATATATATATATATATATATATATATATATATATATATATATATATATATATATATAGTTTATATTTTGTTTTTTCTTAGACCTTCTCTATATTTATGTTTAGGTCTTTGTATTAAAAGCGATTAAAATTTTTTTTGTCCATATATTGACGTTTCGGTCTTCTATGACCTTCTTCAGAAAGGGGTACAGTCAAAAAGAGACAAACACAAGAACCAAAAGCTAAACATATATATATATATATATATATATATATATATATATATATATATATATATATATATATATATATATATATATATATATATATATATATATATATATATATATATATATACACATATATATATACGCAAATTTCTTAGTCCCAGGTTCCATCAACTCTATATACTGTCTTTAATATTTGCTTTCATTCATTGTATTTTAAGAGTGTCATTTATTTTCACCCCTACTTCTTATCATTTTGTAAATCCAAACGAATTGTAATAAAACCACGCTTTTTTTTTTTGAAAATCACTTCTTTTTTGTAAAAATGCTGACGAAGTATTTAAAAAATTATTTAGACGAAATCATTAAATATCAAATGCTAACCTTTCGGTCTGTCTCTGTCGACACCCATATTGATGGGATCGTTTCCATTAAACCTATACAAATGAAGTTGCGTGGGCGTTGCCACCCTCTCGAGCACATTCTCCCATAGAGGTGACATCCACTGCCCAATTAGTGGATCATATATTTTTCCATTTGGCATGTGGACCAGAGAAGTGACCTGCAAACACACAAATTCTGAGATTAGAAAAGTATTTCTTTGGTACACACTCAATAATATATACAAAAATATAAACAAATATATATTTACATATTCTTTTAATAGCATTTATTAATAAACCTCCTCAGTGAAAGTTTCGTTTCCACCAGCTAATTTTTTGGTTAATTTCCCTTAAGAAAAAAACTGAATGTATACATCTCAACTGCTGTTGCAACGTTGAAATAGACGTGATCAATTTCAAAAATAGTTACCTGGTCTAATATTCCTCCACAGAAGTCAATAGGAAGGTACAAATACGGATTCGAGTCATATACAATGTGTCCATAAGGTGACCTCATAATTTCTCTAATTCCTTCTCCATACTGATTAAAAATCATGACCGGAGTGCCGCACTGATCTGTGGCGACGTAATACTTATGTCTGTAGACTTGGGCGAAGATAAGGTGACCTCTGTTGTCGTATATCAAAGACATGAGTTTTCCGTCGCGCGGCGAATAGATCTGGCTGACTTCTCTCGGTCTGTGGTCATTGTTGTAGAAAAATTGGGTCACGTTCCCGAAATTATCTTTCCTCGCCAACAATCTAAAGGTCAAAAATTAAACGAACTAACGCTAAAATTAATAATAAATCTTTACCGATCCATATGATCGTAAAAATATCGAACATCGAAGCGCCCTCTCTTGGTAGCTCTGACTAAGAGACCTTTGGCATTGTAGTGGAATTTTTCTTCCCGAGCATTTTGGATGACCAATCCCCGACTGTCGTACTTATATTGGCCCTCGCCAAACTTGGTTATCCTATCCATAGAGTTGTATTCCATGGGAATAGTGTTGCCTCTACAATGTTTCTGGTTATTTAGAAGTGTCCACGGAAGCAAAACAACTATACATCAATGAACTAAACATGATTTTAGTGTTACTTAGTAATTCCATCAAATCAATTTAATTTAACCGTCCGAACTACCCAAAAACGAAAAATATAAATTACCCTACGTATATGAAAAAGAATCTTTTTATTATCTACATAATCTATGGATAATATAGCTCCATAAACTCATATACATATATTTGGAAATAATTATTAGGTATTCTATTATACATCATTTTAAACAACCTCTTTTATAATTGCAAATAAATCATTTTAAACAACCTCTTTTATAATTGTAAATAATATACAGGGTGCTGGCATAATTAATAATTTTAAAGGAACCTCTGTATACGATGGAATAAGTATACAAAAATAAATGGCAATAAAAGAAATGATTCGTATTAAAAAAGATATAAATGCAGTAAATGATAGAAAAGGTATTGGTAATTTTTTTATACCGCAATTTAATAACATAATCTAAATAAAAAATCAAATTCAGTTTTGTTCGATCTTATTTTGGTAGAGGAATATTTTTCAGGTAAATTGTGAGTATCAATTAGTTTTTTTTTATTATTATAAATTTGCCTAACCTCTAGCCCGGTTCAGTCAGGCTATTTTTTTGCGACACTGTGTGCGTTTCTTTTTTTGAAGAGACAATCGACAAAAAGGAACGAGAACGGCACCTAGTCAGTTGCGATTAAACAAGCAAGGTAGGATTTACTTTCCGCGTCGATACAAAATTTGGTCCATACGAGTCGGATATTAGTTTTCGGAAAATAATTGTGTAATCGGTGATTGCAAGACTTTCCCCGGATTTTTCGTTGTTCTCGAGCAAGTGCCTTTCGTATTGTCAAAAACTCGTTTTCTTTTTTTTTTACCGATTTTCGTCGAAATTCGATTAATATATCGATGTATATATATATATATATATATATATATATATATATATATATATATATATATATATATATATATATATATATATATATATATATATATATATATATATATATATATATATATATATATATATATATATATTCGAGCAAATCCAATTGACTTCACCTTTACTTTGAAAGGCATTCTAGCCGGGTTTAAATCTTGACTAGCCTCATTTTCGGATTCTTAATTTAACCTAAATAACTGATTACATCTATCGGTAATTAGCGGCGGCAATTTAGAAAATTTCGGGTCTTTTTTGTCCATTTTGTTATTGGAAAATGGCACCCACTCTTTCGGCTTCCAATACTGAAAAATTAAATAGATATATCGTTCAAAGAACTACTTTTTAAATAGTATTAAAGAGGCATACTCCTTAGCTGTAAAAGCCAAGGTTGATGACTCGCAAATTTATGAACTCAAGGGTAGATATGAAGATACATTGAAAGAATATACAAAACTTCAAGAACTTCATAACAATATCTTAATTTTAACTTCTGTTTTGGGGGAACAAGAATTTTTACAACAGGATGAAGTTAGGGCCACTACTTCAAAGACATTTTATGGGTTCAAAGCGATTTATTTCGAGCTTGTTGGTACTGGTTCTTCGTCCGCACTCATTTCGCAATGTACAAAAAAATCTATCAAACTGGAGCCTTTAGGCGTAAAGGTTTTTTCGGGTAACTATAAAGAGTGGAGAACATTTCTTGACATGTTCAATAGTTGTATTCACCGCGATACCGAGATAGCCGATATCGATAAATTTAGGTATTTGCTTAAGTATTTGGAGGGTGAGCCTTTAGCTCTGGTTCGCTCTATGCCTCTTACGGACGATAACTATTCTATTGCATATAATGCACTGGTTAAAAAATATGAAAATCATAGACTGATTGCTAAAAATTTTTGGAATGAAATTTACTTTTTTCCTTCATTGAAAAGTGTTGATAATATTACCGAGTTGAGCAAACTCTTGAATACATTTTCCGAAAATTTGGAGGCACTCAGAAACTTGCAATACCCAGTTGATCAATGCGATTTCGTAAACTTTCATTTGCTTTTGTATAAAATTCCAAGCAACACGCGTAATAGATTCGAACTTGAATTTGCTAATAAAACAAACGACAGTAGTAGTGGCACTTCGAAGGGACAACCGTCATTTTTGGATGCGCAACTTTGGGCTATGCAGGCTTCAATTGCAATACAGGTGGCGGTTAAAAATAATTTCAAAACTTCATATCTAAATAAAGATGCGCGCGCCTCGTTTAAGAAACCACAATCAACGCCTGGTGTTTTCGTAGCCGGTGGAGTTGTTTGTTCGTTATGTAGGGCGGAACATTCTTTAGCGTCTTGCAGTAAATTTTTGGGGAAAACTCCTTATGCCAGATTTAATTTTATAAAAGGCAAACATTTATGTCTGATTTGTTTTGGAGCACATGTTGTTAAAGATTGTTCTGTGTCACAGATTTGTTGGTGCGGCTGTCGCCACAATGCTTTGCTACACTTTTCAAAAGGTAATAGTAGTACCAGTACTTCGGGTACACAACTTGCATCGCCAGCGGGCGGACAAAACGAAGATCAAGATACGTTGAATAATTGTGATAGTGTTGTTCCTGTCGCAGCATCGTTAGTTTCCTCTTCCGATGCAATGTCAATTTTTTACGGCTGTTGTTCACATTAAGAATTTTAGTCAATTCGTGTTTTGCTTGACTTCGCTTCAGCGGCCAATTTTATTTCGGAAGATTGTCTGATGCGTCTTGGGCTGCCTCGGGAACAGTGTAAACCTCTAGGAAAATCTAAGATTTCGAACAAAACTAATGTCGCTTACCGACGTATTGTACAAAAATTTTGGAGTCGCTAAATAATAATATTAAGCGGCTATGGGAGGTCGAAAGCGTACCTAATATCAAAACGGTATCGCCCGAAACTGAATTTTGTGAAAACCTATACAAGACAACCCATTTTAAAGATTCTTCTAGTCGATACGTTGTCGCTTTGCCTTTTCGATTAAGGAACCCAATTTTTAGTGAATCGAAAAATTTAGCTTTACGCAGACTTTATTCTTTGGAAAATAGATTATATCATAACCCAGCTTTGCTCGACTTGTATAGAAATTTTATGAGGGAATATCTCGAGGCTGGTTATATGTCGATCGTTAGTCGGACCGATGCGCCTGGTCGGTACTACATTCCTCATCATTGTGTCATACGGGAAGAATCCGTGTCAACCAAGCTCCGCGTGGTATTCGATTCGTCGATGAAATCCTCCAATGGGGTCTCATTAAACTTTATGCTGGTCCAAAACTTCATTCCGATATTTCTAACGTTTTGCTTAAATTTCGTTTGCATAAATTCGTTTTGATAGCAGACATTAAGAAGATGTTTTTACAAATACGGGTTCACGATGAGGATAAAAGGTTTCAACTTATTTTATGGAGATTTGACCGTGAAAAGCCGGTACAAGAGTATAGATTGGATACTTTGGTTTTTGGAGTTGGTAGTTTACCCTATTTGGCCGATAGGACCATTAAGCAATTAGCTATAGATGAACGGCAATCGTTTTCATTTGCCTCGGATATCCTGTTGTCTGATATTTACGTTGACGATATTCTGACAGGTTTTCACGATCTGGAAGTTGGTAAACGTATAAAATTTGAGCTCTCAGAACTTTTAAAGAGAGGTAGTTTTGAGTTACGAAAGTGGGCTACTAATTGTGCGGAGGTTTTATCGGACACCCCTCTTGAACATCAGCAACCCATTAATTTTGATACAGTCGAACCGCTATGCTTCAAACTTCTTGGGTTGCAGTGGCAACCAGCTTTTGATAGTTTTACTTTTAAAATTGGTAATATTTCGAGTACCGAGTGTACCTAAAGAGAGATTTTGTCAAATTTGGCTAGACTTTTTGATCCTTTGGGCATGATTGCCCCCCTAACGTTGTACGCTAAATGTTTAATTCAACAGCTGTGGAGCTTGGGCCTTGATTGGAACCAGGAACCTCCCCCCGAAATTACCGCGAAATTGAGAAAATTTCAGTGTGAGTTGGATCTGTTGTCTTCTCTAAAAATTCCTAGGCACATGCATGTGTTTCAAGCTGAATGTGAAGTGCATGGATTTTGCAATGCTAGCCAAAGCGGATATGGGTGTGTGCTCTTCCTTCGGGTTTTTGTAAATGGCGAGCATAAAATTATTTCGTTGTTGGAAAATCGAAAGTCGCACCTCTGAAGAGAATAACCTTGCCCCGTTTGGAACTATGTGCTGCTGTTTTGTTGTCAAATTTAGTAGAGTTTATTCGTGATGCTCTGAATAAAATTATAATTAAAAAAAAAATCGCGTGGTCAGATTCAAAACTAATTCTGGCGTGGATTAAATCCTCTGCTCATAGATGGCAAACATTCGTTAGTAATCGAGTAAGTCATATCCAAGATAAGATTTCTCCTGATAGTTGGCGTTATATTCCTACTAACGATAACCCCGCAGATTGTGCCAGTAGAGGACTTATTCCTTCACAAATCTTAGAATACCCTACTTGGTTTCATGGGCCTCGGTTTCTTCGTTACTCTTCTTATCATTGGCCTCGCGATTTATCGGCCGAAAGTCCCTCTGAATGCTTAGAAGAGGAGAGCAAATTTATGACGACGTTAATTTACATATCCGACCCGTACGGTGTGTTTAATAGATATTCTTCATTGGATCATTGCATATTGTGTAAAATTTTGCAATAATATTCGTACAAAACGCCAAAATCCGGTTGCCGCTTGTTCAGCGGCTCTTTGCTTTTGCTTTGATATAAACAATGCACTTTTGTGTCTTGTTTGGCAAGTACAACGTGAGGTTTTCTCTGATGCTATATATAAGCTAGAAAAAAACAAAGGCGTAGATAAGGTTTTAAGAAAATTGAATCCATTTATGGATAATCAAGGTTTCTTGAGGGTCGGCGGTCGCTTGATAAATTCCAAATCTTTGCCACACGATAGGAAATTTGCATTGTTACTCCCTCAAAAACATCGTCTTACTGAACTGATAATATTTTATTTACATAGGAAATATTTGTATCCGTGTTTGCAAACATTGCATTTTTTGATTCTACAACAGTTCTGGATACTGTCAGCGAAAAATGCTATTCGTAGGCGTTTGTCTCGTTGTTTAAGATGCTTTCGAGTGGATCCCAAGCCTGTTGTACCATACATGAGCGATTTACCGGCAGGACGTGTATCACAGGCCAAGCCATTTCAGGAAGTAGGGGTGGACTTTGCAGGTCCCTTTTCTGTAACGCCTTTAAAGGGCAGAGGGATAAAGGCCCAGAAGGCATATGTTTCTATTTTTGTTTGTTTTGCCGTTAAGTCCATACATTTAGAACTGGTTTCCATTTTGTGTACTGACGCTTTAGTTGGTGCTTTAAAGCGCTTTATCGAACCTAGAGGACGTTGTAATATTATCCGCTCCGATTGTGGTGCCAATAGATAACTGGTGGAGCTCATGAAAAACGCCGTTGAGACGGAAAAAATCAAATGGTACTTTAATCCACCATCAGCACCTAATTTCGGAGGGTTATGGGAAGCTGGTGTGCGTAGCATGAAGTATCACCTGGTTCGGTCAATAGGGCTAAACAAATTAACTTTCGAGAAAATGTATACAACGCTATATTGCATCGAATCTGTTTTAAACTCAAGACGTTTACACCCTTTGAGTAGTGACCCTAATGACATAAGCGCTTTGACTCCAGGGCATTTTTTAACTCTGGAGCCTCTTACTTCTTTACCTTCTAAGGATTATACGAACGCTAATATTAATACTTTACAACGTTGGGAATTGGTGCAACGATTGCATAGCGAATTCTGGAAGCGGTGGCATCACGATTATTTGAACACGCTTCAGCAGCGTTCGAAATGGACAAAAAAATACCCCTTATTAAACATAGGAGATATGGTAGTCATAAAAGACGAATTAAATACGTCCCTTCGATGGTTACTTGCCCGAGTAACACAGGTTCATCCTGGAACTGACGGTATTTGCCGAGTAGCGACAGTTAGAACTAGAAACGGTTTTTTGCAAAGGCCCATATCCAAACTATGTCGTTTACCTTATTTAGAATAAATTTAGAAGAAAATGTTTTTTTTCTTATTTTCGTTTTGTTTTCTTTTCTTTCATTAATTACACTAGAATGTTATTTTGTTAAAATACACTTGGTGATTTTAAGGTCGGCGGTATGTTCGATCTTATTTTGGTAGAGGAATATTTTTCGGGTAAATTGTATCAATTAGTTTTTTTTATTATTATAAATTTGCCTAACCTCTAGCCTGGTTCAATCAGGCTATTTTTTTGCGACGCTGTGCGCATTTCTTTTTTTGAAGAGACAATCGACAAAAAGGAACGAAAATGGCACCTAGTCAGTTGCGATTAAACAAGCAAAGTAGGATTTACTTTTCGCGTCGATACAAGTTTATTATAATAGAAATGAACATAAACCAACAATTAAGTAAACTCTTAGCAACATAATTTTCAAAGTCAATATATTCATTTCAGTTATTTCATATTTACATTCATGTTCCATTAAAAATGTCGCTAAGATATGTCAATATTATTATAGAAAATATTTAATTCATATCATATTTTTATGCATTTCATGTTCCTAATAACTGAAACGTTGAGTAAAATTTAAACTTAATATTCAGAAGAAAAATAGATCTTAAGTAGGGTTGTGAAATTGACTGGTCAAATTTATTGTATCAATTGACCAGTCAATTGACCGAAATAATTTTCTGATAACTAAATGGAGCGAATATTTTTATTGGGATTCTCCGAATCGCTAGTATCGTATTCAGGTATTCCTTGAAGAGGGTTATAGGTAAATTAGACATCACAAACGCATAATAATAATAATGATAGATAACACTCTACAATTTCAAGATGTTATTTAAAACATTTTTATCGAATTTGGCTAGTTGTAACGAACATTTTAAAAAGCGCACGCCCATGTGTGGCGCCGCACGTCCCAGACGTACCCGTCGCCGCGACCCTCCGCGCTACCATGCATTAGACGAACCGCGGAGAAGTAGTAGAACCCCGACCGCAAAGGGTTATGCAGCGACTCTCGGAAAACGCGTTTAATTTCGAATATTTCGTTGTCCACCCATAGTATTTTACTTGAGTTCGGAATTACATATTTGTAGTGACACATAAATTGTTTAATTTCGTGTACCCGCAAACCCCCACCTTTCATAGTCAATTAAGAAGTGGTCAATTGACCAGCTCCAACATTATGTTGTTGTTGTTATGTTTTGCGTTTAGTTAGTTTAGGTAAAATTTGAATTGAAATGCTGCTTATTGAGGGTACAAGTAAATGCTTTATTTTATTTTTTTGGAATTTTATACACTGTGATCAAAAATTGTTGCTGTAGCTGTGGCGAGAAACTCAAAATGAGTTCAAGAAATGGTTTTGAAATGTTAAACAATTTTATTATTTTTATTTAACTTTTAAATAATTTAATTTAAATAAATAGGTGATATAGTGAGCGTCTTAAATATAAAGCAATTTTTGAACTTATTTTCATTTTACCACTTATCCGGTCCTCAAAGGCTTCCTTTTAAATTTTAAATTTTTCTACATTTCAATTAGGGTACTTCCCGCCAGGCAGTTCTTTGTTAGAGAGTTGTCGTTCTATCTAACTTAAACTAATTTCTGTGAAGGTAAACTTCTACTTTTAATTTTATCCTAATTTTAATATTTATTTGTGAATATAAATTCGGCTTTAATTAATATCAGATATAAAGGGGTTTTCAATTAGGACGGGTCGAAGTTTGTTTAAGCTGTTTTTTTCATTTAGGCGAGGCGCATTTTTGGATCAATGGCTATGTTAAAAAAATGCCGGATATGGGACCCACACGAGGTTCACCAGGTAGCAATGTATCCACAAAAAGTAACTGTTTGGTGCGGATTTTGAAGTGGCGGTGTTATTGGTCCCCATTTTTTTACTTTGGCGACGGCATTACCCCCAAAGGCGATCGCTACAGAACAATAATAACCAATTACTTTTGGCCCAAATTGAACGATATGGACATGAACAACATGTGGTTCCAACTGCCATACAGCGGACGCCACGGTGGAGCTTCTCGGTGAACATTTTAGGTGTATGATTATCTCTCGCAGAGGTGAAGTGAATTGGCCACCAAGATCGTGGCGATTTGACTCCGCTGGCCTTTTTCTTGTGGGGTTTTCTAAAGTCAACATGACTTAAGCAATTGCTAGAATTCAGTCGGAACCATGCTCAAGTCATGCGATGTTATATTCCATAAATAATGGCTCAACTTAGTTAATATCTCACACACATCTTGTTTCATTCCATTTCAACATCGACCCGCCCGTATTGAAAATCCCTATAGAAGGGGTGGCAAAAAAAACTTAATGATCTATGAGTTTGGATTTTTTCTTAACTTGTAATACGAATGTATCAATCGATTCTATCGACATGAATCGATTAATTTTAATTTATTTTTGAATAGCGCCATCTAACGTGCGCACGTTTAAACCTTTAGTGCATTATTTTTGTTTTACGGCGTAACGCCAGAGGGAAGGCATTCTCATGATGTAAGGTTAGGAGGTCGGGTTTTCTTTTGGTGTTCTTTTTGTTTTTTGGCATTCTCCATGCGGGTTCTAGCAGTACTCGATATACGTATAACAGGAGGAATACGCAGTCAACATACCTGTAGGTTAACGACAGCATGTTGCCGTTATCGTCGTATCTAAAGCCCCACGGTTCTTGGGCCTCGACCCCCAGCAGCTGCCCGTCACAGTCCCACGTATAATTTTTTATGTTGGTATAAGTATTGACTCCGACATTTTTTGTGTAGGTCCTCGTCTGCGATATTCTCCTGCAACACGCAACAAAGTCTCGGTGACATTGCACAATTTCGCAAACACCAGCTGAAGGGGTACATACCCGTGTAAGTCGTGGCCAAACTCCATCCGGAACACCTCCATTCCGTGTATGGTCAGAGCGACTCTCGTCTCCAGGAACCTGGAATTTTTCGTACTGGAGAACAACGCGGTGCCGTCGAAAACGTGAGTTTCGTTCGGTCTCGGCTTGTTAATCTTGAACGGTCCGAGCAGTTCCACCGAGCCGCTCTTAAAATTATACGCCAAATTATAAACGGGCAAGTTCTGTCCGCCGATACGCCCCTGCGCGGTAACGAGTCTATAGTTATCGTCGTAGTCGTATGTGAATTTGGCGTTGCTTAATCCCGTTTTGGCACCAAAATCAATTCGTTCCTCCATTAGGAGACCGCCGACGTACTGATAATCGGCTCGGTATTCCAGATCTTTCTCCGCGTGGCTCACTTGGCTCGGCAGCCCAGAAGACTCCGAGTAGTAAAAAATGGTCTTTCCGTCGCCGTGGACGATTTCGCTCAGCTTGCCGCTGTCGTGGTATCGATAGACGATTCGCACGCCATCACCGGGGAAGACCGTTTGCAAAACCCTCCCCGAATTGGAGAAATGCTGAAGGTAAGCCTTCGGGCTGCCGGGCGGGGTATATACGGCCCTAATGATACCTAGGGACGGTTGCAGCGCGAACAAATGTTTGGTACCACTGGGCAACGTGACGTGTCTCAGTCCTCCGTTGTCGTCGTAGGACAACAAGAAACTTCTCTGGCTGGCTAATGTTATCTTGGTGAGCATGTTGGAGTCGTCGTACGTGTACATCTGAGTCCCGTCCTGCGGACTGGTAATTTCGGACAGCAAACCGTGTCTGTCGTAACTGTATTTTAGTTCGGTGTTTCCCCATTTCCAGCCGTCGATTCGGTTGAAGTTATCGTAGGTTATGTTCAAGACGTCCGCCCCGTTGTAAGGCGTGTAGCTCAGTGGGAGACCGGCGGGATCGTAGGTTATCGTCAGCAGCGGCATCTTATCGATGTCGAAGAACGTCTCTTTGCTGGTGAACTGATCAAATTCGATTCCCAGCACTTTCGACCGGTTGACGGAGATTTCGCGATACAGCGTTTGCTGCGGGTTTCGAACGTCTCCCACGAGACTGAATGACGTGGACATTACGTTCGACACTGCGTCGCCGAAAGTCGTGGTCTGCTCGGACCAGATAGGCAACAGTTCCGCTTCGAGCGGAAGCGAAGCTTCTAGCAACGGGTGTCTTTCGATCGCGCATATCTTTAAGTTACCGTCGTAGGCAGATTTTAGAGCGACCGTCGAGTTCGTTAGGGTTACCGCTTTGGTGATTTCCGTACCTGGAATTACAAGTTCATTGAAGGCAAGAAACGCTCACCGGTTGTTACTCCGTTACCGTCGATCAAAATAACTTGCTTGTTTGCTTTGCCGTTAACGTTCAACACGGTAGGCGGTTGACTGATAACAATTTCCAGACCTTCAGTCTCCGACATCTTAGAAGATAGTTGGAGGGTCTCCCCGCTGGGGAGTATCACACCGGTAGCCCTGCCCAGCCAGTTGTACTGGTAAATAAACGTATCACCTCCCTAAAAATTTCAAACAAATATTCTGTACTACTTTTCCAAAGACGTAGATTTAGAGTGAAATAATCTATATTTATGAATAATTTGTTAGACCCTTTTTGTTTTTCACATGTTTTCGAAATACACAATTAAAGACCATTAAAAAATATTAAAAGATACTCTCTTGCAACAAGAATGTTCAGGAAATTCAATTAAACTTATTTGAAAAAAAAAAAAAAGAAAGAAAGTTTGTGTCAATATGGAATGACTTGCGATCAATTGTGGATAAAAATTTAAGGCAATTCCAAATTTCGTAAACTCAGCGTGAATATACTGCATTACCTGTCCGCATATTTCCCAGCGAATATTCGAACCGCAAAAACTCCCAATTTAGGCATGAAACTTTGGCATCTGTCAAAAACTAAAAATTTTAAGAAATTATTTCGTTAACAAATTGCAACCAAAATTTCAGCCTCCTGTGATTTCAACTGGCAGCTAATTTAAAACTTTAGTGAGATCATAATTTGGGGAGAAAAGAAAAATAACTATTATTTTGAAAACCGTAATAGAAAGGTATGTGCAGCTATTAGGTAAAAATAATCAGAAGGAAGCAGTTAATTGTGTGATGTTAATTATTAATGCCTTAGCAAGTTCGACTCAACAACAACCGCGGCAGGAGAAAGCAGAAGTTTTGTAAATAGTATGTGTGAGGTTGCTATATGTTATTGTTCTTTCATCCACGTTACGTTCTAACCTACCATCGACCGTCACTCACCCGGCTTAACCGGTAGGGTCCCTATAAGGTGAACATGGTGGATACTATTATGGGTCTACAGCCCAACGCATTATCGTACGCCATGCCGGCAGAAGGCGCTACAAGTAAAATTCTAAAGCTGTGACTTTTATGTATAGAGTTCATATTGTTGTCTGTTGTTGGGGTTCGAATAAAGACTAGCGTTACCATTGGCATTCGTGATGTTTATTGAATTTAATATTCAGAAGAAAAATAGGTCTTAAATACAAAAGCACTTCCTGTATTGTTGTGCTTTTGGTTAAAGATAAGATGAACTTTGTACTGTTATCTATAGGCAGTAGAAATAAATGTTTTATTCAATAAATAATAAGTGTGTTAAATTTTAGGTTAAATGGAAACTAGAAAAGAAAGTTATAAAGTTTGAATTTGAACTTTAATATTAATTTCACGGGGAGAATAAGCCCTTGAATTTCCGGAAAATGTGTATTGGTATGTAATATCACTCACATTGAATCTAGGTAGTCAATTACCAAGTTTTTAACTCCTATACTATAAATAAAATTTTGTCAAAGTCAGTACCAATTTTTGATAGAAAATATGACGTAACAATGTAACTGTTGAGTACATATGTAATGGGTGTTTTTTTTCGATGTATAGAACTTTAAGTTGGCATTACTGTTAAAGATGGCGACCGATTTAACAGTTTGGTTTGGCAATTCATCATGAATAGACTCACGCCTGAACAACGCTTGCAAATAGTGCAATTTTATTTCGAAAATAATGGTTCTGTGCGGAATACGTATCGCGCACTACGTCCATTTTATCGTCGACAAAATCGTCCATCAGAGCAGTTAATTCGATTAACCATAGAACGTGTTCGCACCACGTTTACTCTTATTGATAACTCGCATCCCCAGAGACGCCGTACGGTGCGTACAGAAGAAGCTGTAGTTGCTGTAGAGCGTAGCATTGGATCTGTGTCCATCCACTTTATGGAAGATTTTGCGAAAGGATCTTGGTTTAAGTGCTTACTAAATCCAACTCGTGCAAGAATTGAAGTCAAACGATCATCAAGTAAGGCGTAGATTCGTCGAATGGGCCCAAAACGAGAGCGCACTTCTGGTTGAATGGCTACGTCAACAAACAACATTGCCGCATTTGGAGCGAAGCTAATCCTCAAGTGTATGTCGAAACACTCGCCAACATCCAGAAAAACTGACTGGCGCGCTTTATGGGTTGATGGAATCATTGGTCCGTACTTCTTCAAAAACGATGATGGCCAGAAAGTTACAGTCAATGGTGATCGGTATAGAGCTATAATTACCAACTCTTTCATTCCTGAATTGAATAACCATGATGTCCAGGAGGTGTGGTTTCAACAAGACGGCGTAACATGTCACACAGCTCGTGCCATAATCGATTTATTGGTTTATGTGCTTACAAAATCCAACTCGTGCAAGAATTGAAGCCAAACGATCATCAAGTAAGGTGTAGATTCGTCGAATGGGCCCAAAACGAAATTGCCGTTGTTCCCGATTTTCATAAGCGAATTTTGTTTAGCGATGAAGCGCAATTCTGGTTGAATGGCTACGTTAACAAACAAAACTGACTACGTCCAGAAAAACTGACTGTTTGGTGTGCTTTATGGGCTGGTGGAATCATTGGTCCGTACTTCTTCAAAAACGATGATGGCCAGAACGTTACAGTCAATGGTGATCGGTATAGAGCTATGATTACTAACTCTTTCATTCCTGAATTGAATAACCATGATGTCCAGTAGATATGGTATGGTAGACACGTTTGGTGACCGCCTAATTTCACGTTTTGGACCTGCGAATTGGCCTCGAAAATCTTGCGATTTAACACCGCTAGACTACTTTCTGGGGGCTATGTAAAGTCATTGGTCTATGCGGATAAGCCACAAACGTTTGACCATTTGGAAGACAACACTCGCCGTGTTATTACCGATATACGGCCACAAATGTTGGAAAAAGTAATCCAAAATTGGACGTCCAGATTGAACTACATCCACACCAGCTGTGGCGGTCATATGCCAGAAATCATATTTAAAATGTAATGCTACAAGAATATCTTTCGGATAAATAAAATTCATGTCAATCGAATAATCCATCGTTGTTTTATTGCAACTTAAAGTTCTATACATCGAAAAAAAAAACACCCCTTATAAGGCAAGCAAATCCAAAGTTAAATTGAATTATTATTATTATATATTGAAACGAAATATTGCAGTTTTCAAAATGATGTACTTGGCTGGTAAGGAATAAATTAATATCAATTTCCAAAGACGATTTTCGAGTTTCTGTTTCCGAGACAGGGGATTACAGCGAGGTACGAACACTTAAAAGGCGCTTTGCTTTAAATAATATTACATCTGTCAAAAATTTTAAATTAATCAAGATATTAAAGAAATAAGGAAGTTAAATGCTTTGAAATACAAGATAAGATACGAGATAGAATAAACTAGTTTGGAGACAATATGCAATTTAAAATTAGGTGTGTTTTGAGAAAATCTATCTTACTCCTGATCTGCTGGTTAGCAGTCCTGTGTTCATGTCGTAGTCCAGCTCAATTTCCGACTTTCCTTTCTCAGTGAGCTTCACCAAATATCCCACCCCGGATATCTTTAACTCGGACTTGTGATCTTGGGTGTTCTCTATAGAACTCACGGCGTTGCTGTAATCCCTTAAGAATTGGATTTTGTTGCCAGAACTGTCGGTAACCGTTGAAAGCTTTCCGAAGCTGGTGTTCTTTGAGTACAGGAAGGAGTACCGCGTTTTATCAGACGCCAAGTCTTTGGTGGCAACGTGTTGACCGTAGCGATTGAAGACGTAGATTTCTCCTGCAGGCGGATAAGGAATTCGAAATTCGCCGTTCTCGTCGTGAGTTGGAAGATAATGTTCCAATGCCAGGATGTGAAGCGAACCTGAAATTAAAACGTTGCCTTCTCTCTGTGCGTTCGTTTTTGTGGCAAAGAGATTATCGTATATTTTGTTAAAATAAAAGAAGGATTTTATAACCCGTAAAATGTTTTACATCGACTTAAGTTCCCCGCGACTGCGATTTAAGGACCACTTTATACCTTGATCGGCGACGTGCAAAACTCCGCCAGGCGAAACGCTGATGGCGGAAATGGTCTGGAAACGGGCGTTCGCAGACAGTAATGTCTCCGCGTTGCTGGTGGTGTCGTCTCCCGGAGGGCATAAACAAGTAGCAGGTAGATCGCGACTGCTCCTAACGGGAGTTGCTGTAGTTGCGTTTACGGGACATTGGCACTTTTTGTCTTTTTCCTGCAATTTGCCGGCGAAGTGGACGACTTTCCCGGATGTATCTATGAGGCGGATATAATACGTGTTGTGGGTATCTGATTCGGCGATGTAAAGGTCGCCGTTTGGTGCGAACGACAAGGCAAGAACTGTACCTGCAAGGGAACGAAAAAAGGAATTTCTCTTTAACAGTGTCTAATTTGACCCAGCCGGTTTATGGTGGGGCACAGTTTTATGTGCTTCATCAGCTTGTACGCAAAACCAGTTTTAACTACCCACTACTCATCCATCTTGACATTAGCTTAGATAATTGAACCTGGGTATTACCTAACACATTGTCTTCCTCTTTGGTTCCGTTATCTGTTCGGTGACAGTGTAGCGGAGAACCAGCGACGACTGTCACTTTCATGTCAGGCGTGAGCTGTAGCACCAAGCGGTCATCTATGAAATGAATGGAACCATCCAAAGGACTTAGCGCAAGTCCGGTTGGCCACTGCAATTGTGCCTAAAAAAGCGCGTATTTTGTTTGTCACAATATGTCGGTATAAGCTAATTATTTATATGACCCCACAACCGACATTGTTCTGGGTGTGGTCTATTTTAACGATTTATTACACAATGCTCGAATTTCAATTTTGGAATTTCTTCGGTGGTTACTATTTTACTATCTCGCCCAGTTCAACACGACATAATATTCCAAATGAATAAAATTATTTTTTGGGCGCACCCTGTATAAATCGCCTTCAATTAAGAACTCAATCTGATTTCATCTAATTTAAAAAAATAGCGCTCCTCAACTGTAAATACAAAAATTTTAGTTGCCGATAAGGCCTACACCTACAGTTACGCCAAATTAAGCAAATAGCTTTTATTTCGACGGAGACACTTAAAATCATTTTTGACTGTGCCCGAAAAACTTGTATTTTTGAGTACACAATAGAAAAAGTTGCGTTTATATCGGAAATCAAGGTTACATGGCATCTTTGACATTTAATGGGTGTGATCATTCTGTAGCCGATTCGGCTTCTCCTTCAAAAGTTACATAGAAAAGATAACTTCAAATTTGAAAAGAGCAAATAGCGAAGCTTCTGTTTTTAACGAGATCCTTACAAGGACTCACAAAGTGTAGAAATTTAATTCGGTAAGACAACATGCACTGAGATATCGCCTCTACTCCTCCGGCATTGGCACCAATATCAAGGGATTGCGAGGCCCTAATTCATTTGCTAAAATAATACAAAAACCATGAATCATTCTATGTCAATGATTCGCTGTGCATCTAGCGTATAGCGACCCCACACCCGACACCAATAATGTCAACGAATTGTGCCCTAATTCATCTGTTACAATAATATAAGACTTTACGAAGTAAGAAGTTACTGACTTACACGGTATAATTAATGAATAAACAGATATCAACGAATTGTGAGATCCTAACTTATTTGCTAAAATAGTATAATACCTTATTTTTTCGAAATTAAAAAAAATAATTTCATTTAAAAGGTTTAGTGACGCGAACATCTGGCTTATGCCGGGTGTTTCAGAAAGGGAAGGGGGGTACCGTATACGGAAAGGAATGGTTCTTGTAATTTAAAAAAAAAAGTGAACGGATTATTTAATGAAAATGAAAAATCATATTGTCCCATTTTCTTTTCAGAGAATTATTTTTTTTGTCATTATTTTAGAAAATTTTTGACAGCCCTTAAAATTGCGTAGACACCGGGATTTAAATATCGAGGAATCGGTACAACCCCACACCCGACACCAACAACTTACGACACCCCGATTCTGTCGCTTCGATATAATGCCGTTCCAGACCAAGTAGAAAAAACTGCGACAGACCAGGAAGAAAATTGTAAAAATGAAAATTTATTTGTTGCTAGTCGCCAGTTATTATACCTTTCGCTCCTCTTCATCCGATGGTGGTAAAATGAAACGGACGAGACTAAGCTTAAAACAGCGAAAAAGTTATTCTATGAATAAACTGTTAGTTCAGTTACGTAATAATCATGTTGGACGAAGTGGTGAGAATTGCTCAAGCTTTAGCAATTTTCAAGAATGTCCACACAAGGTTTTAAGAATCTGTTATGCCTTGATGATCCTGTAGTTTCCAAATGATAAAAATAATCACAGAAATGCTATAGGTATAACCGAAAGTTTGGCAATAACAGGCGATTCCCAACTCAGTCTAACGTATTTTTCAAAAGTATTTTTCTACTCCCGCTTGTAAAATGTCTAATTACACACCGATCTAGCGTGCGAGAAGAGTCACTATACCACTTCAGTTTCGTTTCCCACGGAACCGAGCCACTTCGGACATTTTCGGGATTTTACCGCACTGGTTTGGGCGCAATCGGATATTTTCGGAGATATTTCCCACGCCTTGAATTTTGACGTTTGTAAATTCTGACGGTCATGTGTTGTTTTGCGAAAATGTACCCAAAAACTAACGGTCGAGGAAAAAGTATAGTATGCAACACATTTACCGCCCTTGTTGCGTACTTAAAACATAGCTGCCCTCACTTTTTGCCTTTTCTCGTGTACTGACTATTAATATTCCAATATCCTTTTCAACATCATCCACTGAGTTTATGCTATACAATTCTACTCGATTTTTTTCTGCTTTTCTCCATTTTTGACACTAGTGCTAGCACAAGACAACCGAATTACATTTATATGATTTCGTACTGATTCGGTAGTTTCCTGCCCGTCTCAGCACAGTGGTTGGACAACTTGTAAAACAAAAATGTTTTGTGTGTTTGGCGTCGACCCGGCATAATATCGATTCAATTATTGTAACACATTACGGACTGAAAAATTGTTAATCCGCGCTGTAATTAACTACAAAAACACGTGAGTCGCCGGGAGTGCTTAAAGCAAACACAATTTAATCAACGATGCAATTTAAATTACGCCTTTATATATCCCGCAACAATAATACGCGCGGCACCGTATTATTTTAAATAGACAAACTTTGAGCGCGTGTAAATTTAATTAAATTTTTGGCGTCAAACTGATTATAACATTTAAATTAATTAAAGGGCACAAACGCGTCAATTAAAGGGAAAGTTGATACAAACACGGCACCCAGAAACAAAATACCTAGGCAATTTAACTTTCGGCGATTACCGAGACAGGGTCGCAAACTAAATTTCCGATATCATTCCCGGAAGTCGGGGCGCGGGTGGGGCGGGAGTGATGTCGGGAACGTGGCGACGATTTTCGATCATTGATTTACTATAATGGCCGACGTTAAGGACGTTAACGTTTTCGGCAAGGAACGTATAGAAACTGATTTTCGATTGTATCGTGTAAACAATAAGGACGAAACGGCGGGGAGGTTCTGATGACTTGGCGTTTTTTTGCTTTGGTTTTTACGACCGTGATAAATTAGACTGGATGAGCTGGAGCGAATTTTTCATGAAATACACGAGGCGATTATGTATTGAAACTTTACGGTGGGACGGTTAAGTCTCCGTTGAGATTAAAATTCGAATGTAAAGTTCAATTCAAGCAAAAATCATTTCAGTTATCAATGGCATGCCATACAACTTTCTAACTCTCTTTTACAAGATATTTAAATTTATTTGCATATTGTAACCCTTTTTGAATTCATATTTATACCTAAATACTTTGAGGTAATATATACGGTGACTATGTTGTGAAACTTCAAGTTTTTTGAAACTTTTATTGCTATAAAATATAAATACACATATAAATGAAAAACATATGACTTCGGGATACTGTGCAGGCCTACGTAGACACTTTCAAATTACAATGACAATTAAAGTTTAATACAATTACACAAAATAATAGAGATAGAGAGAGCTCAATATTTTGAATTTAATGTTGGATAATTACTTTTGGATACTGGTGGAGACTGGTCGATATTAAAATTAAATATGCAATTTGCATTTTGAGCCCAGGATTCTTACACATTTCATTTCTACGTTCTGGTACTTTGAGATCATCGATTCGATGCAGATCTAGGTTTGTGTATAACACTTCGAAACTGAATCTTACGGTAAAGAGACTGACGTGTTTTATATTTCAAAATTTTGTCGAGTATCTTGTGGACGATAGTAATTCGAATCTAAAGTTCAATTCAAAATTCAAACCAATTTCCATTTAGAGTTGTGTCGATAGGAATATGATATCAAAATTAAATGAAAAAATTAAACACAGTCCTACATTGGAGAAAACAAAAATTATTATAATAAACTATTTTCACAGTCAAAAATTTATTTTAGCCGTAATGGATTCTCTGGAACTTTCTAAAAATACTTCATGTATACTTAGTCCTACCAATTCAGACATTTTGAATTCTATGTCAAAAGTGACATCTACCTTTGAAACTTTCCTATGTATTTGAGGTCGACTCCCTCATAGAATAAATAGGTTCAAGGTGCTTAAAAATTATCACGGTGTAATTTTCTACGGTTTTTTTAAAGAATGAGTTATTCCAAAATTAAATATTTCCTTAAATATCTGACAGGTGAGATATTTTACGTCAAAAGAACGCCTAGCTTTCAATGGCTTGTTTTACAGGGAATAATTTCCTATTTTCATTTAAAAGCCTTTGTTGTTCATTTCATTTAGTCCGCTTTTAATATGACAAAAATCATTCAATGGCGGCCTCACCTACGTTCTCCAATTCACGAAATTATGTTTTGCCCACTTGACCGCCCACATCTAAGAGCGCAGATGTCGATGTTAAACGACAGTTGTAAAATTAACGTTAATAATCTCATTTATATACGATCCGATTAAATTTAAATTTCACTAACCTGGCTGGCTGCGATCGCCCCCCGGCAAGGAATCGGCGTCCAATGATTGTGATGACCGTGGTTGCCAATCAGGGTGTGTATAATGCCTTTAGGGTCGACGGCTCGTACGTTAGTGCCGTCGGCGATGTACATGGTGCCGTCCACCGAAATCGCGATGCCCTTAGGATGAGCCAATCTGGCGTATTTCGCTGGACCTTCGTCCCCGCACGCCATGTCGTCACCGGGAATGCAGCGTTCTCCGTTCCCGACGACCTGTTGGGGTTATCAAATGTTGCAGAAAGGCGTAATGTATTGGTAAGGGGCTGCGTTTATTCGGTACGTTCAATAACGTTGGAAATCAAAAAGGTGATAAAAAATCTAAAGTCGGGATAAACAAAAGATTTACTTCGCTATATTAATTTAAAGGTGGAAAACCACCCTACTTTTTTGGCTGAACAGTAAACGGTGATTCACACAAATATTTTCCAACCGTAGCGTTGCAATACCATGTATATTAATATCTATCCTAATTTTGTGCAAAATTCTTTCTTTCCCTTACATCGAAAAGAAAGAAACAATTTTATTATATTTTTGGAGAAAAACACCATTTTATTAAAGCTTAATTAATATATTTTCTACTCCCTTCTGTAAAATAACTAAATATAGCGTGCGGAAAGCGCCACTTTACCACGTCAGTTTCTTTTCCCACGGATCCAACTCAAAAACTAGTATAAAAAGTATAGTATGCACCACGTGCGGTGAACTTTTTAACTCACTCGTTTATTAAATACTCGATCCGCTTGTGACAAATAAACTAATGACTCAAAGGCCGTTTACCGCACTTGTTACATAATATACTATTGTGTGGAAGTGAGTAAGCAATTTCAAAATGTAACAGGGATTAGCTAAAACATTTGTTTGAATATTCAATGACGTGATTTTTATGGTAAGCCATAAAGGGTGTCGCAAAAATTTACGTTCCTGAACAAAAATAGTAACAGTAAAATGAAATGCAATGCGAAGGAAGAGAAATAGATAGGCATAGGAAAAAAAAGTTACTCAGAATTTTGCACAAAACCTGAAAACGTACTAATATAAATAGGTTCCCATTTGAATTTGCAATATTGCCATTTGTTTCGTGTTGAATTGGCAACCCTGGCAACATATTTGAAAAAGATGTAAGTACTATGGCTTAAACCAAATTTGAAAAAAAAATTAGTTCTCCAGAGCTTCTAATAGAACACTCAACGTGAATCACCCTTTATATCAATAAAAAATTGGATGGTCCTTATGAGTATATAATATAGATAATTCAAAATTAAATATCAAGCTTCTAGGGACGTCTTGTAACCGAAGTACAGACCGCTAAGGTTAATATTTTTTAAAATTTTAATTATTACTATTATTAGTTTTGAATGTATTTAAAGAATTTAACAGATTTTGTTAATTTCATTTCAAATCGAAGTAAATTTTCTTAATTGTGGAGTATTCAATCCTTGACCTGGTTCTCTAAGACGCATTATTTTTAAGAGCAAATTAATTTATTTTATTTGAATGTTCCCTAAATTGAAGTGTAAATAATTAGTGGGTCAGGAAGCAAGTGAGGCTAATTTGTTTGATTGTAAATTTCTCTGGTCAAAATGACTAAAAATAGGTTTATTAAATGTGACCAATTTTAGGGTATAAAATGGGCGTCTAATTTTCTCAATCCTGTGTATCTAAAAGTTCAAATCTCCTTTTTCAATAATAAAAGTGATAATAAAAATTATAATGCTGATTTGTTTAAGATACTAATGAATTATATTCCTTAGTTAGAAAAAGAGGAAGCGTGAATTATCGATATCTTCTATTCCTGAAAGCCAATGAGATTTTATATTCGACAGATGATCAAAGTTTTAAATTTGGATTTTTTAGTTAAGCGGTTTGATTGATTTTCGTGTGGCTATATTCAAAGTCAAGTAATGGAAATGGCGAGCAAAACTGAGGGAATCCCAATGAAAATGGAACTTACGGGTTCACTGTTTATCGTCGGATCCTGAACCGGTTCCAGGGACAGAACTTTCAAAATCTGATGCTTCTCAGGATCAGAAACGTACAAATGACCATCGGCTGGGGATACGGTCAGGTAATATTGGTACGCCACCTGAGTTGCTCTGCACATAAAAATTTACGCAACATATTATAAAAATTAACACGATATAGGGGATGTCATTTAATATGTGTTGGTTATATCACATTGGATGCAGGGTCTCAAAGTTTTGTTTTTTTCAACACAAATAATAAAGAAAAGACCTGTGGGAACCGCTCAGCAAGCAAGACCATATTCATTAAAATTAAAATTTGAGACGAAAACGAAGCATTTTAGAGCACACATCTTTTTACTTTTACTTTTTACCTTACAAATGCTTAATAAGTCACCCTGTGAAATATCTGACATTTATGAAATAACACCCTTTACAAAAATGTAATTCTTCGACTCACCTCAATTGGAGCACGGTGTATACGTTTTCTTCTGGTGTAATTCGCCTAACAAGATTAAAGTCACCCACGTAGACGCTCCCGTCGGGACCGTTTGCCAGCGACCCTGGTGTCAAAAGTCGAGCGTCTTTTGCTGGCCCTCCGCATTGACCGGGACAATCGACGCTCCTTTGGAGACCCGTGCCCATAACGACCTTAACCATGCGAGGATATTGCTGCCGGAAAATCCCTATTTATTTCGGTTCTTTCTTCTGTGAAATCGAAAATGTACGCCGGCCGAGGTCTGATATTATTGCTATATTGTTGTAAAATCAGAGGAAAAGATACAACCCCTCCCTCGGCAGCAATTCAATGAAATACCCTCCTCTATTTTAAAAAGCGTCGAGACGATTATACTACAAGTTTAACCTTTGGGGGTCCCGTTTACCAGTTACTCCCTTGAAAACATGATATTTTAATTACAATTTACAAACGTTTTGATTATAATGATAGTCTAAATTTTTAGGCATGTATACCAAATATCACCACAACCGGCATGCGGCTTGTCTGCAGCTGTTACAATAAAAGTAACATATTTTGAGAAGTCCCAGCAACACAAAATTAATTAGGGACATGTATAAGATGCCGCTCTGTAGAATTTGCTTTTATCTTTTTTTCAATGGCTCTACGTCATTGTCACCAAACAATATTGATATGCAAATAAAAAAAATAATAACAACATTGAATTTATTGAAATATAAAACCATCCAAAACTACCCATAATTAACGTTGTGGTAATTGTACGAGTATAAGGTAAAAAATATCTTCCAGTTAATTTTTTAAAGAAATTTCAAACACGCTACTAAAATGCTATTTAAAAATCTTCTCGATTCCTCCTGCGTCGGTTGTTGATAAATTGAAATTGCTGATGTTTCGCCAACTATCATGTTGGTTTCTTCAAAACTTAACTAAAACTGACTCGCATTCTACCTTGTACCTGCTTACATACTGTCTGAGGATTGCGGAGCAAAAGGAAGACCATGAACAATGTCTGGGTTGTCGATTCCCATATGGGTTACAGCTGTTACAGGGTAAGACCTGAGTCGCGGTTAAGATTGTTTGCTTGCTCATAGACTTCGATGGATTCTCGGATTTCTCTTTGATAAAAGAATTTCATGATTGTGTTGGGCAACTGCTGATGAGTTTATTTGGGGTAGTCTTAAGGCTCTTTCATATTCTTTTAGGTTAGGTGATATTTTTCATTCTGTTTCGCCAATATATTCTATGCCGCATATATGGGGTTGTTTTAGGACTCATGCCTTCTTGGTCTTTCTTTACATTAAATCTCAAAAGTTTTTTAAAAATATAGCGTTAAAACCAGATTTCCCAGTTGTCCAAAAATCTCTCGATATCTTCGATCCGCCAAAGACAAAATTCCGCTTGCGATACCATGAGTTTACAGCATTCCAGACCTATGTGGCGACGAATATATTGGAGAAATAGAGCAACAAACATCAACTAGGTTAAAGAAACACAAAAGAGCCTTCAGATTACGACCAATCAACTCATCTGCCGAACACAATCATGAAACCGGAAATGAAACCTTATTCTAGAAAACTAAAATTCATCATCAGTAATCATTAACTCCGCAACGAACAAAGGGTATTTAAACAGATACAAATTTCTTTGAAAAATTAACTGGAAGACATTTTTTCAGAAACCTATTTGCTTATCTATTTTATATATTATTCAAATAAACTTAGACAGGCTGCTGTAATACTTCTTATAAAACTTCTGGATTCCTCCTGCGTCGGTTTTTGTTGAATGGAACTAGCTAACATTTCGCCAATCATCCTGTTAGCTTCTTCAGAGCTTGACAATTTCAGTCAAGCTCTGAAGAAGCCAACATTAGCTAGTTCCACTCAACAAAAACCGATGCAGGAGAAATCCAGGAGTTTTATAAAAAGTACTACCTTATACAGTTGCCACTACGTTGATTTTGGGTAAGTTGGGTAATTGCGTAGTAGTTTGAGTGTAACTAAGCTTCAACTTCGGCTTTTGGGTTATTTGGGTTATATATATATATATATATATATATATATATATATATATATATATATATATATATATATATATATATATATATATATATATATATATATATATATATATATATATATATATATATATATAATGTTTATTAATATTTCATATTAGTATTCAAAATCCTATATACATATATATATATATATATATATATATATATATATATATATAATGTTTATTAATATTTCATCCTGTATACGTAAACGTGAACCCGTCACGTCTAGATCGAAAAACAGCCACACCTAGGTACGAGCAACCCTACTTAGTCATGGAGTAGTAATAACATTCGCGCGATAATAATTTCGTCCATATTTCATCTCTCGGCTTTGAAAACGATTCGCCGCATATACGAACGTCAAGTTCGGGGTGGGTACATAATTATAAACCCCCACCGTTAAACTATTCAAACTGCGGACGCTGACAAAGAACATTAAACAGATAGTAAACTGCAAACCTTAAAGTGGAGCGTTGAGCCGTCGCCCTTTTGAAGTATGCCCTCGTGGAAATTATAATGATGATGTATGTCGAGTCCCCAGCCACCGATGTCGGAAATGTCGACGTCGAAACCTTTGATGTCGACCGTCTGAGTGACCCATACCGGCTCGTTGCACGAGACGTGTTGGTAACCAATCGAGACCTGAGATTAACTTTAGTTAGTTTATGGAAGAGGAATCTAACTAGTTAATATACTGTGAAAATTACATCGAAGTTCGTGTGCGGATCAAGTATTAAATTAGCTGCAAAATTACACGGCGGATATTAGCGATAGCGCGCTTATTCTAGGTGGCCTCTGTGCTATCGTTTCCAGAAAATTTGATAATTAAGTTATATTGATAGGCATATAACTAGCAATTCCTTTCAAAATGCTTGACAACATATTTGAATTTCAGAAACATTGTTTTGTCTCAGTAAAATATGTTTTACAACATTTACAATTGCGAAATTGTTTTAAAAGGTTTAGTGACCAGTATCTCAATTACTCAGAAATTTTAAACTTAACTTTTTTTCAAAAATAGTACAACTCGAGACAATACGTGAGCAATTGTTTGCATCTTTCATAATTTCATATTTTTCAAGATTATGAAAATTTCTCGATTTTTATGGAAGATGTTTCAACATTTATTATTTAGATGGCAATGATATATTTATCACCCAAAAATAAGTATCTTTTTCATATAGACATGCGTCCTTTGTTTTAAAGATACGGCGAAACAATCGTTTTTTTTTGACAAAACTTGGCACGTTTATTTATCGTCATAAGGGTAATTAATTAAAACAAAATTATCCGTTTTAGTAGCGCCCGAAAGGCTGATTTAATTTATATTTATAATATTTTTTTGGATCTTGCAATAAAAAATGAAACTTGCTCATTGCTTTAAACGAATCTAGACACGAAAAACGTAAATGGACAAGTCTTCAAAACATCAATTAGCCCAACATAATGTTACCTATTTTTTCAATTAGGTCACCCTCCAGGACACTACTGAAGTGAATAATTTTATTTTAATTACACAAAATAAAGACTTACGAAGAAAAGCAACTGTTCTGAAACAGCCTGCATCTCTGGAAAACTTTCAGTAAGATTGTATCTGTCTTAATTGTGCAACCAACAGATCTGTTAATTTAATTCAAATTGCACAATTAGACTCAGCAAATTCTCCACAAATTCCGTGCAATATTCTAACGTCCCGAAAATTAAAACTTTTTTGCTTCAGAATGCATATCACTCAGATAGTGATTCTCCCAGTAGGTACCGAAGTAAGTTAAACTACTTTTACGATGTCCACTTATAATTATTTTATTTATTCTTAAATTTGTTTATTATTTCCCTTTTCAGCATTTTATAACATTATTTATTTATTTATTTATAAACCCAAAGCCTAACCAACAGGTAGGCGAGGCTGCCCAAATACTGGATAGCGCATAGTAAGATTACATGGTCGGGAATACAAAAGAAACTTAGCTAGATATTTAATAAGCTGCTAATAGACAGTAATTAAAAAAATCCTACAAAATTTTGTACACGTTTGTTATAAACAAATTTAGGCTTAAGTTGAATAAGTCCGTATCTTCATTGTTCAGAAAAACACAGTTATTGTACATACGAGTACATCTAAAAAGCCGAGAGTTTACATCTGATTCTTTCTATAGAAAAAGTTAGCCAAGTGCTCACTCGACAACGACTAGCATTAAAAGATAAGTGATTTGTACAAGAAAACGACTCAATAAGATTGTTGACAATTTTATAAAAAAAAATACGTCTTTGTGCGTGTTTCAAGCGACCTCATTTTATAAAACTGTAGATTATTTTATTACGAAAAGTAGTGGCTGTTTCTATTATATCTAAAGTTAAAGTTTCTAAAATGCATTTTTTGGACACTCTCTATCCGATCGACATACTTGCGATAGATTGAATTCTATACAGTGCATGTGTATTATATTGATATTTTGTGTCCAGCTGCATATACTTTGATTTGTTCGTTTTTTATTTGGTTCAATAATTGCCAATAGTGTAGAAATAAATCTTCCAGCAACTAATTTTAACATAATCCCTTGAATCCTGCCATGAACTATGAACAAATTCGCGCTAAAATATATAAGCTTTTCCCTTATTATTTGCAGTTAGAGCACCTTACAATATTAGGTTGATATTTGATTCATTAAATTGACTTGCTACAATTGATAATTCGAAGAAATATGGTTAGTAAAATTAAGGGTAGATAGAGAGCACAATATTACACGTTATTACAAACATATTCACATCAACTCGGCGCTAAATTATGTTTGATTCTTTATAAATAGTTAATAAAATACATTTAAATGTAAACCGCATCTGTGCTCCTCCAGTGAAAATATCCTATAGAAGACCTAATAGAAGCGACCGGTCTAAGCTTTTAAATGATCCAAGTAGGTAGCAGCAGAGTCACTAATCAGAGTCAATGAACTTTAGAATGATGAATTAGTTTAGCCGAGTTATGAAGATGTTTAAATTAACTTCGAAACGGTATACTCACTTTAGCTTGAACGATCCCGTAAACTTTTTGCTTGTAAACGTTTCTCTTGTTCCAGGCGAACGTGTGGTACAAATTAGGATCAGCTTCGTACGTCTTGACGTACAGGGAACCTTCTATTTCTACTCTCGCATACACGTGAGTTAAAGTTTTCGGAATGTCGTCTGCAGTTAGCTTCATAAAAATTGTGCTCAAGTAACCCGTAGCTTGCGAGCTTTGATAAATTATATTCAAGTCTGAACCTGTAACGATAATATTGCAATGACAAGAGGATCGACCCATAAAGAACGACGCCTCAGTCAAACCTGGTATAGGAATCGATTCCTGCACGATCTGAGTTTCCGCAAACACGACGCTTCGTCTCATCAGGCCGCCGACCGCTTCTGGCATCCACGTTCCGGTTATGACCGGTTTCAGTAATTCGGGATCGTGTTCGTCACAAGCGTGAGGTAAAGTGCCGCCGATACCGAAGAACGACCTCGAAACTCCGGGAAAATATAACGCAGGATTCCTGCTACGATACGAGATATTTGAATTCTATTTCTATTTTGAGCCGATCGGGCATTACCTTTTCAAAATTTGATTATTCGAGTCGTCGGATAGTAGCATGTGGACGGGAGGCAAGACTATGATTTGATTCCAAGGTACGTAAACCGTTATAGTCATAGGCTTAAAAGGTGACCTCTGAAATTGTAATGTGACCGCGCCTCCACCGTTTACTAAGACGTCGAACCTAAAATTACGATTGACATGAAGTAAATTATAGCACGCGAAAAGTATCCACCCAAATTTTGTATTTTTTTTTTAATTTCAGTAGTGTCTAGAAGACGAATTGAACTGCTTAGGAGTCGAGAAAAAGACTTCTCCGCGTTAATATGAAATAAATATGAAAGCAAAATATATTTGCACCATCTCATAGATTTTAATAAGCTTTGCATGTTTACTAGACGGAAGATGCAAGAGGAACCAATACATCGGTATTAGTCGTTGTGGTCTGTCTGGACCGCATGGAGCATCAGTTGGGGTCAGGAAGCCAGACCGATGATACAACAATGGAATGTGTCTTGAATGTGCGGCCGAGTAAAGATAAGGAACGTTTTAAAGAGGAGAGTCAAAACTTGACATGATGAATCATTTGGATTGGAGTTATGAAGAAAATACCCTTTATGCTTTTAAATCGTGTTAAGTAATTTCCACTACTTTCTGGATTCCTCCTGCGTCCTGAAGAAGACAACAGTATGATAGGCGAGACGTCAGCAAGTTTGATTTATAAACGACTGACGCAGAGAATTTGTAAATAGTAAATTTAGAAATTCCGAATTTTAACTTTAGCAGTTATATATTTTTTAATTTGCTGTAAAGTTGCTCCATTAAGGTAATTCGGATACTTTTTTCTGATTCCTTTTGGGAAAGGGTACAAAATTTCAAAACTTTGTAAATGTTTTTTTGTAAAATATCTTATTTTCTTAAAATACTAAGGAGCTACTTTAAAATGATTTTTGGGTTCTTTGAAACAAATTATCGCTCTGCTATTACTCTTTCAAACGAAAAGCAGTATACATCGAAATTCATACTTTCATTATTTTGAAAAATCGGAAATTGACAATCGACCAGCCAGCACCGAATCGAATTACATGGAGGCCCGAGAATTGACTTTTAGGAAAAGTTTCGTTTACTTAATAACAGGAAACTCTAGACGCTGCTGTAAAAAACGAACACAAATCGACTAAAAAAAAGTGACTCGGCCCGAGGATCAAGTTCCACGAGGAAGATAACAAAGGATTTCTTAATTAAAATAAAATTACGAATCCAATTAGGAGGCGAGCAACGGACCGAGCCACATCAAAGCAATCTGGCAAACTCCTTGTTGTCGAGAGTCTACTTTTTACTGTCTGAAATTAAACGTAAATATTTTCCTCCAAATTAAAATCGCTTCCCATCGCCAACTTGGAGGCACCTTATCTGAAAGTCGACTACCTATGTCATGCAGTAACGAGTTAAGATGGTCATAGATATTTGGCCACAAATAAAGATACACAACTCCGTCTTGATCTAAACTGCAATGAGCTTGGTAATGCAGTATGCAATGCAATATTTTGTTCTTTGTCATTCACGTTGGTACTAATGCGGATAAGTGTACTAGAAGATTTTTATAGTTGTCCGGGAAACCTACTAATAATTTAAAGCTAGTACTCAATTAATACAAATTTTTAATGGCAAATTCTTATGTTGCATATATTTGTTGTATTGAATTAGAATTATCTGGTTTAGTTTAAACGGCATCTCCTGTATATTATTAACTTACCGTTATAGAAGTAACAAATAATTCCCTAGCTTTTAAAGCAATTTGGTCCCAGGATAGCTTTAATGAAAGTGAAAGTCCAATTTTTCCAGACAGTTCCCAGAAGGTCTCTGGGATTGTTTCCTGTCATATCATTTAAAAGGACATATTTTGCACGGGAGTTCTAGAAACACAGTTTATTGAGCGTTTTTATATTGTACATATTCCATATTTTCCCCTATATTCTCCAATTCCTCCTATATTCCTATATTTTTAATTATATTAAAGAAACTAACCTAATTTTGTTCAAGTTTCTTACACGTAACACACTTTGAAACAAAAATTAATCTTCACAATTTTTACATAGGGGAACAGAAGGCAAAATGGTACCCTTAAAGTTATGGCCAGGATAAAAACAGATGACCAACACTTTTGACAAACTGAACTTATATTTGTATAACATAGTATGTTTCCTTTCAGTATCATGTTAAATATAAATGAAAATACTGTTGAATGAAAAATGAAAGTACTGTTTATTAAAATCAGTTTCAGTCAAGCTCTGAAGAAGCCAACAGGATGATTGGCGAAACGTCAGCAGTTTCGACTAAGCAAAAACCGACGCAGGAGGAATCCAGAAGTTTTGTAAAAAACGCATTCAACTATTGTTTCTTTTTTATATTAAATTCTACCAAATATAGCTTTCTTTGTTAAAATTTCGTAGGTCACTCTTACCGACTTGTGGGTAACTGTCCGAAGTTTAACGGACCGTTTTACCTGGAGGATCCGTTATGCCTCCCTTTCCCCTAATATCAACAAGAGTTTTGCACATTGACAGAATGAAACTCGTAATACCCCATTTTAATTTAATTTTATTTTCTTTCCAACAATACAACTAATAATCCAGTAAGGTATGAGCTATCTTGAAGCAAATTCTTAGAGTGCGATTTTCGCAAAGAACATGTAGATTGTTTTTTTTTCAAAGAAACTTCCAAAGCCTACTGTAATACTTTTTATAAAAGTTCTGGATTACTCCCGCGTCGGTTTTTGTTGAGTCGACCTTGCTAACGTTTCGCCAATCGTCCTGTTGGCTTCTTCAGAGCTTGACTGAAACTGGATCGTATTTTACACTGTACCTGCTTTTATATTGCTTGAGGAGGGCGGAGCTAAATGAGGGGTATAAACACCGTCACGGATGACTGATTCCCATATTAGTGACAGGTAGAGACCTGAGTCGCGGTTAAGATTGTTAGGTTGCTTATGAATTTCTACAGACTCTCGGATTTTAGCAGATTTAGTAGAAGAATTGACTACATGCAAGAATTTTAGTTTTATCGAATAAAATTTTATGTACGGTTTTGTGATTGTGTTCGGCAACTGCTGATGAGGGCAAGCTCTGAAGAAGCCAACAGGACGATTGGTGAAACGTTAGCTACTTCTACTCAACAAAAACCGACGCAGGAGGAATTCAGAAGTTTTATAAAAAGTACAACATGTAGAAATTTAAAAGTATTGGTTGTAGGACCAAAAATATTGTGCAATTATTGCTTTGGCGTTTTAAGTATTTTGCAGTACCTTGACAGCAGACCTTCGCAGGACCGTGGTAAAATCTATCCGAACGGATGGTTATTCTGCATTAAGTAACGCTTGTTAGTGAATGTAGATAAATTTCTAGGACAGTCCTGGAATGGTTAGAGGTAAGGGTCTGCTCGGCAGGGTGTTCTATAAGGGGCTGCGGTTTTGGAATAATAAACACTAGGCAAAGTTAATCACGGGGTCGGTTGTAAAAACAGAATATTTCTGGTCATGGTAATCCGGAGAAGAATCTTTAATATTTTTCGCAGACAGAGAAAGTCCATTTGGAATCCAACCATCTTTAGAGCCAGCATGCAAAATAGTTATTCTTTTACCTCTTTTTGATGCCGCGTTTGTTTTACACTTATTAGTTGAGTCAACCAAACTCTTTTCGGGGATATCATAAGTGTCGACCCAGGTACCATCCAAGTAAATAATTGGCCTTTGTTGTTCTCTGTAAATCCTAATTTTTTATAGATATTCCAATCGCCGTTTCCGAATTCTGAAAGATTCCATTAAAACTTGCCATTTGCCAGTTTTTTAAAATCTAAAGCCCATGTGTAGAATACACTTCCATAAGGTAGTTCTGCCACATTTAACACCAATTTCATCTTTTTCAAGCCTCCTAATTAAGATATCTAATTTAGGCACGCTTTGTTCCTCGTATACCTGGTAAATTTTACGCCGTATTACATCTTGGTCACTTTCATCTACACTCTCAGCATCGCTTCTTTTTTTCCTCGCTGAAATGGGATTATTCACAATTTTCCATACAGTTGATGCTGGAATTTTCGTCAATGTGGCCGTTTCTTCTAAAGATGCTTGCTTGCTGGCATCAAGTTTAACCAGAGTCAAATAATTATTTATAACTTCCTTAGTCTCAATAGAATAGTGTTTTCTACATTTGGGCGGGAGCATCTCCTGAGATACACTTGACTCGCATATATTTTGCATAATTCGCACACGATTCAGCACACGCTGTATTACACACGAAATAAGAATGGTTATTAATAAACTTAAACTAAGTAATATACCAAACCAAAGAATATTAAACACCGGTAGGTATAAAATTATTTTCTATTACGGATAATTTTATCTGAATTTAAATTCCGAAACTATAGGTAATAATAGTGTTGCATTGTATGTTAATAACCACCCTTGGATAATCCCATTCAAAAGCAATTGGTCACTTTCTTATATCTATGAACAGACCATACCTTGCAGCCTATGAACAACAAAAAGTTTCGAAGAATTGAAAGGAACTTTATCGAATCGATTCTGCATTAAAACCCTCAAGGTTTTTGTAAATGCGAGGATTAAAATTATTGATGTAAAGATGAGATAGTTATTTTAACAAAAGGCTTGGCTTACTCGCTTCTCCAACTCCTCTCTGATGTTAACTCGGCGCATTATACAATTTGCTTAACAGTTGAAGATAAAATTCGATTCGTTTTTGAAAATTTTCATGATTCAAAGAATTAACGTTTTTAAATTTATTATGGAACATTTTATGGTTCTTCAAACCCCTCTGAATTGATCTCCGTATCATACCTAAATCTTGTTTGGTTCAACTTTGAGACGATTTGGGATAAGCTTCAAAATTAAAGCTAGAATAGTAAATTCGTATTCTTGATTGGTCGCAGACCTTGGACCATCCCTTGTTCGATTGACGCAAAATTTGTCATTTAATTAATGAAGACAGCTGTCAAGCTGCAAAGACTTCCTTGTGAATAGGGTAAACATTTAAAAAGTCTGTGGTAATTTCATTAGATTATTATAATCGAAGCAGATGCCGAAACACGGCTCGATAGTTGGAGAGAAACTAAAATTAAATGACAATGGGCTTTACAAAGTTCATTCAGCCTATGTGTCAAATTCATCGAAATGACTGTGTCCAATTAATTTTTATTTCAAGGACGGAGAGAGATAGGTATAGGGAAATTTTAAGAAAATGCAAACAAACAAAGTGCTCTCTTAGAATTTGAAAATAAAAGAATGTAGAAGGTGCACTATTTAGAGAAACTCAATAAACAGTGTTTCTAGAGCTCCCTTTCAAAATCTTGAAACACACTACATATTCCAACTAAAATTCGGCTTTTCGTTGTATTAAACCATGGAAGTATCAAGATTTCTTCAAAAGCCCAAATTGCCTAAAATTCACGGAAATTAATTTTTATTTCAATAACGGTAAGACATTGGTATTACGCAAGCTTGAACAAAATCTACTTTATTTCTTGAGTAGAATCTGAAAATGAAATGATATACAGGGGGTATCGTTAAAACTCAGCAAGATGTTGCCACGCTTATATAGCAGCGGTAGCACTTGATATTGTAAAGCGACAGAGCACCTTCTCTTACATCCTGTATAACTTTATTAATCGGTTGGTCCGTTTACCATATACCTCTGTGTGCATATCCGGCAAAATAAAGTTTTTTGTAAATAAATTATTACATATAAATAAAATAAATAAAGTACATATAAATAAAATAAATAAATTACATATAAATAAAATATATGAATGATTGATATTGTTGACTTGATTTTATTTTAAGTATGACTAAATATATATTTGTGTGAATAATTTAGAAATAAATAATAATTCAGTATTTTCATACATTCTTTGCTCATTAAATCAATAAAAAATTTAAAACGACAAATTTAAAATTTTCCAAAAACGAAAAGTCCAAAAAGTAGTGGCTTTTTTTTGATGATGCAATTTTATAATATGTATATATTTTTTTAATAATATGAGGCAAACGAAAGCAAATTGAAAAAAACTCGGCCTACTGAAATTTCAACGTTAACCTCGTACCTGATCTAATCAAATTTCAAATTTTTAAAACATATTCAAATCGTTACCGGTATAGAGTTAAATTTATAGAGAAATTTCATTTTTTGTGTCGAACACTATAATAGATAAAAAGAAAAAAAGGATAGGAAGAAATATGAAAAGTATTTTCATTTTCTGTTACTGTAAAACTCCTTACTTTCATTTCAATTATATCTCAGCGTTTCGGTTAGTGCCTGTTTTCAAGAGAATAATGCGAAATCCTAAAACTACTGTAACTATAAACTATAATATGTGATGTAGTGGTTTCCATGACTTTTTACTTCAACTACATTACTACATATCTCCTTGCTTTCCTGAGGAAAGACTGCTTCCTTGAGTTTTCCCTTGTTCTTTGTGGTATTACTTCTTGATATGCAATAATCAATTGAACTAAACAGGCTATGGAAACCGTTACCTCACACATAACTATGAAGTATTAAGAAATAGTTCAAATAAAGGCAATAAAAATTGACACAACTACTTTCAATAAGTCGTTGCCTACAATTTTCAAATTCAAATTGCTCATGTTAAATTTTTTAGTATTGCTGTTTAGGTTTTTCAGATTTCTCTGTCTGATGATTCCACAAGAAATTTCATTGCCTATAAAAAATATTTCGATTTATAGCCCGGAAAACTCTTTTTTATTACCTGTCACGGTCGAATATAAAATTAAATTATAAGCGGTCGAAGTACTCACCAACCACCTTGTCTCGTGAGCGTAAATCCGAATTTGGATTCCCGGTCCACCGAAACTCGAATTCCTACAATGCCGAGTCCCTGAGGTGTGACGACTTGCCCTCTCATGACTGCAACTCGACTATATCAAAGGGCACATTAGATGAAAATTCGGATGATCCAAACTATCATAACGTAAAGCGTGTTTCTTGTACCGATATCGAAGTATAACTCGTTTCGGTTAGTTTATATAAAGTATCAGAAACTTGTGTACATGCAGAAAATGTCATATATTATAGCATCGTTCATAAAGCGGTAAAAGTAAGCTGCGGCTAACTGTAATAATGTATACACAAATAAACACCCAATGAGACGTGTACAAAGAAACAGGAATCGTGTGTAAGGTTTGTACATTATTACAGCAAAGTGATGTACATTGTTCAGGCAGTATGTACCATACCATCACTACGTAATGTGAAATATTAAAATGGTCGGACATTCAGTATATCATCAAGGCACCTAACTGTGTTTGTTGGCTTGGCTACCAATCGCTACCGTAACTTTACTTGCTGACAAAGCGTCGAACTAAGAGTTGCGGTAGTAAAATCCAAAAAAAATTCTCGATCACTCCTTTGGAATTTAATCCAATCATTTTCTAAAATTATCAAAATTGGAACGGCCACCAATCCATTAAAAATATTCGAACTTTTAAATCGAATTAGTTCCATCTACCCAGATATAATATCGAAAAATTACATTTGCGAAAGGATTAGCAACATAAATAACGCCCATATAAAGTTACCGTAGGATTTCCGCAATAATAAATTATAAGTGTGTGTGTGTTTGTGTGAATATTGAGCAAAATGCAACGATGCAAAGGGGCGCTTGGGGAATAATTAATTATATAGTAGTGCTATAATGGGAATAGGGTTGTACAAAGGTTAAGGGGTCAACGTTTAAGGGTGAGTATGACACGTAGACAAAGGAGGGACATCGGTTTGAGCCGTCATTTTCACATAAAATTGTGTTTAATTGTTGTCGGATATAACATACCTTTGATGTGTGCGACAGTTTTGGTCTCCTGTCGGGTAGATGCGACAAGACGAGGTTAAGTTTATTTCGTAAACGTACAAAGGGCTAACAAGTAAAATAACAAAAAGACAGATTACAAACATACAAGGTGTTTGGAAAATTTTTGCAACGCTGAAGTGAGATTGGAAAGTAAAGAAAAAAATTGTATTAAAATTTCTTTACATATGATATTCTCAAAATGATTGCTACCTTGTGTATTTCCCGAAATAGCTTCTTTCTGATGATAATACACGAAAATCATGTGCAGATTTTCAATTACAACAAATATTTTCCTAATTTTTATTTAATATGCCGTAGTTCCAAATTAATTCTTACAAGACAGAAAAAATACATAAACATTGGCAAAAGGATCATCTAAGCAGTCTTCATTTAAACACGGAGGCCTGTAGCAAACCATCAGTTAAAGTAAACAGATAAAATAGGCAACCCTCCGATGGTGCGAAACTCTGCCGAGCTCGGTCCCCACTCTTCTGCAGCCTCTAATGGGACGTCTTTATAGGCTGCTTCGCGTATCACATAGATAAAAAAACTGGGACTGAGATTCAAGACATGTCGTCTTGTACTGTTTGATCTAACCATATAGCTACTAGATGAATTGAATATAAAGGCTGTTTTTTTAGACAGGAAAAAATTATACACTCTGACACGACAAGATGTTTAGTTACGAAAGTACTTGTGTTTTTAGATTCATTCAATTTATCTACAGTACAATAAATCCCAACAAACTGAAGAAAATGAAAATAATGCCGAAAATAATATTTTCTTAGTATTTCAATGAAATAAAAGGGAAGTTATAAACTGTATTTACGATTACGATAAATATTATTATAAATGAAGGTTTCATTTCGTTACTTTAATCACAAAAAATGTTATCTCAAGAATTGCTTATGTGCATACATTATTTTTTACTTTAGTTTCACCTCCTTGGCACTAACTTTGGCAAACACCCTGTATATTTGGGACGATAAAAATTTAAAAGTTTTAATGTTTGTCGCTCATCGAGGTGAAAGATCGACAAGCACTTATATCGCAAGAGAGTAAGAAAAGTAAAAGTGAATAATGATGTAAAATAATTGACAAAAACTGAGAGTTTAATAAAAACATACCCCGTGCCTCGATCTATTCCGGACAGGAAACGCCAACATTACAAAATTAATAAATGACTACCTTTCAGAATGATTAATCATAAACTCTCGGCAGCAATAAAGCCGAATATTTGGTGAGCAGACATGTAGGTAGATATATAAATTTTAACCCCTCTTCTGGAAACTGAACATCCAGCGGTTTCCATTCGACTACAAATTGGCTGTATTTGTGGCTGATTCGAGTCATTTGCAGTAACCATAAATAAAGCCTCAAGTTTGTAAATTTATTGTTCATGTAAGTTGTGGGTACGTTATGTTTAGGGGAAATTTATGACGCAGATGAACAATGAAGAAATTTACAGATGGCGATTGCGACAGAGCTGAGAGATAACATTCATTGCAACGGAAAATAAAGACGGGTTACGCCTCTTGCAGTTCTACAATAATTCCGCCAATTTGTCAGTTACACAGTGTTGTGTTTTTTAGGCCATATAGTATATATAGTATAGTTTATGATTAGCAAGCAATTTGGAATATTTTTTTAGCATTTTGATACAAAATTTTGAGGAGACGTATCGGGATGTGCGATATACTGGGTGACTCTTATTAAATCGGTTATTCGTGAACGGTTCATGAGATTTATTTCAAATTATACAGACATAATTTGAACGGCAGAATAGACACTCGATTTTAATTAAATCTCCTTTACGCTTTGCCACTTTATAACATTCACATTATAGTTTAACTAAATCTTAGAGGGTAATTAAAAAATTTGATTTTGGAATAAAAAATTAATTGCACAACCCTGAGGATCGTTATATTTTCAAATATGGTGAGAAATATATCCCCAGTTTATTCGAGTTTGTTATCAATCTTTCTTTTTTTTCAATGAAACTTCCATACTTCTATAAAACTTCTGGATTCCTTCCGCGTCGATTTTTGCCGGTTCGAGGCAACAAAAACCAACGCAGGAGGAATCCAGAACTTTCATAAAAAGTAACATTTACATTGAAAATGTTATACAACAAACACGAGTTACTGAGAACCAACCTTAATAAATATTTTAGTATACCAATTACTACACTCCTCTCAATAATTTTATATTGCAAATTTTAACGAGTATATTTAATTTGATTTGATGAAAATCAGCGTCTACACAACGACACTTATGGTGAACCAGAAATGGATTGTTAGCTCGATTTTTGAATCTGTTCTATCGAACTAAAATATTTTGGACTATGCAACGATATGTATGCTTCTAACAATAATATAATGGAAACATCGTTAAATTAAGTGGTATACACTATATTGTCATACATTTTTTGAATGACGGAGACTGAGAATGAATGAAAGAGAACGTCAAATTTTTATTGTAGTTTGCCTCCTATATTAGACTTATTTGGACAAATTCATTTCATAGTACACTGGGTCGCTTGAAATTAATAAACTAGTAGTAGTGCGGTTTTCGAAATAATAGTCAGAATTTTGAATCATTGAAAATTTCAAATGAAGCCTTGGTGAAACGTCTACGAGATAATAATGAATATAACAAACAGACAGAGAATATTCGGTAACAAATATTCAGGAATTTCAACGAAATGTATCCCTGTATGAAAAAAAAAGAAGGCGTTGTGATTGATTGTGAAAAAAAAATTAGAGGAAACTAGAATTTCACACACGTGAACGTTTTGGTGTACTTGCCAGCATATCCCCAAGCGTCCATCGGAACTGGAACAACTTATGATTTAGGTACAAAACTATGGCATCTCGCAAAAACAATTAACATAGTAAACGATCAGTTACTCTTAAACACGGTATGATAGGATAAAACGATTTTTGGAATTGTCGCATTATTTCAAAAACCTTGCATCTATTAAAAAAAATTACGTTTTAGATTTTTAAATAATATACTATATACTGAAATATAAAGATAAAGTACGGCAAAAATAATGTTGCCACATGTTATTGTTGGAAGCGGCAGCATTGCATTGTGCGAAATATTTCGGTTCCAGAGAGATTTTCAACAAGAATCTCTTTCCGGTTCTCATCAAACTTCTAGCCTACCATCTATCGCGCAGGTACCAATTAGCAGAATACGAATGTCACCTCAACATTATAGGCAATTCCAGTGGGTTTTGCATAATAATGAAAAAACAAGATTTACAGCACGATAGAGAAACGAATAGCCGTTTCGCTATAATGCAAATATAAAGGTTTCGTTGTGGCATGTCGCAAATTCCTACTCATTGCTTCTATATAAGCCTTATACTTTGGGGCCTTCGTGTTTCGCGTTCGAGTTTAAAATTAACACGCGAAAACATTCATATACGTGACAATTACTGTAAACCTCCAAGAAGCTTTTCTAATTCAATTTATGTAAAAAGCATGAACGAGGAAAGTGAAAAAAGTACACATATAAATTAATTTACGTTAGTTTACGATAACGAAAAATAGTGGACAAACACAGGTCGGGTCAGGTCAATATAGACTGAGCTTGAGCTTCGCAGGCTTGAACATGTTAGTCCCGTGAATTTACATACTATAAAACGATCCTAGAAAAAGGTGACTCGAGCGGAAACGCTATCGAGAAAGAACGTTTATCGCTAATCGATCTACAGTATGTTAACTCGACAACTGACTAACGAGTAAATGAGTATTTATATGGTAACAGGCGACACACGGACAGACGGACAAACAGTCAGACAGAGAACGAACATGGGGAGATGCTGCCACTTACCGCGGTGTAAAGGAGTTCCAGAACTCACTATGAGGTTGCAGCAGCGACACAGGGAACACAAGAGACAGGACAATTACTAATCACACAGTAATACTAACGCTAGGCCTGCACGAGATTATTTTATATATATAACCATTATGAAAGCTTTAAACTCTGTATCTTTTATTTGCCGCGATCGTTGTTAATTTGAACGAAATTGATCGCAAATACGCATCACGAGATGGAAGA